CTACAAGCCGTGAACCATTAGGGTTTAAAGTTGGTTGCGTTTGATCTGTCGCTCCTATTGGTGACCCTGCTGAGAAATTGATTACCTTTGTCCCAGAGGATGGCACGGTGAATCGAACCATTTTATTGAAATTATCCAATATTTCACCAGAACATTTATCAATGGTGTAAAACGGGTGACGTTCGCGAAGCAGAATGAAAAGATCCACCTCGTATGCTCGGTGTGCAACATTCTTGTCGTCCAAAAAGATTGTTTCGACAACTAATTTTTCAGTAATTGGCGTATCGAGTGGCAAACCCTCAGCGTTGAGGACAATGGATATTGCTTGACTGGGAGTGATAGTACAATTAGCTTCGGCAGGCAGATCTGGTTCGATGTTGACCACTACCGTTCCTGTAATGGCACCATCAACATAGTTCCCAAACGAATCTACCTGTGCTTCGACTCCAGCACCGACGACTTTTTTGCCTTGATACAGCTCTTTAAGACGACTTTTCTCCACACCTTGGGCTGTTCGAACTGCATTTGTTTTTAGTAAATCGACGTCGTTTGGCAATCGCAGGACGTTTTTCAATGACCTTGACCTTGTGGAATAAAGACTGAAACTACGAGTGTTGAGAGTGATGTCCTCTACGTTGATGACATGGGCTGTGTGACAAAAACCAATTACCATGAACACTGAAATACAAACAAAAACTAACCAAATATCCACACGCCTTTGTGAAACTTACTTCGGAACTTTGCTTGGGTACATTTTGTTCTGATTTTGCGATATGATTTAAAATATGATTTATGACTGTTACCCAAATTTGTGTAATGTTCTGTTCAATACAACAATCGATACAATTAAAAATGGGGATTGTGATTAAATATGCAACGATGAATGTCGTATATAGCCTACGAGAGGCTGAATTTTGGCCACGATGGTCATTTGTTTTATTATTTTTTTAAATCTAGTGGAAAGATTTCAACAAATAAAGCCTAGTGCCTTGAGACTCGTAATCCCTCTTTGAGTAATATAAGAAATAATGTTATAAGTAAACAACCTTACATCCTCACCTATTAGTATATGAAGACTCATTCTGGAACCGTTCCTGAAACACAAAACGATAAATTGAGCTGGGTTAAGAGCAAAGTGTGATTAACACCGAAAACTGTTACTGGTCATTTTGCTAGCTTGTTGCACACGATATTTTGTAAATATATATGTCCAGTTTCAAATAAAACGCTTTTAACTCTCAAATCTTTTTCTTTTGAACAAATTTTGACGTGGTAAGATAAATGCTAATTTGAATAATCTCTTTAAGGTATACGTGCAGACTTTCAAAATGTAATTTTTCAAAAATATTAAATTTTTGAATTCATTGTGGTGAAGCTAATGAGATGATATAAAATCATAATTAATTACTCTAAACGGTTTAGTCAAGAATAAAGAGTAATCATGTAATTATGATATGCAAATCCGATCAGAGAAACAAATTTTTTAAAAGTCATGAGTTTGAGGTAAACTGTAAATAATCGGAAAAATGTTTATTGATAGGAAATGCCTGTGATCTCGGAAATGAATTAATTATTTTTTTGAATAAAATAGGCTAATTAGGTCAAATATCTTAACCAAATTATAGAATATAATTTAACACGTACTAATTTTAATCATGACGTCATTTGTTAACAAGCTGAAAAGAGAGGGACTTAACAGGTAACCTTGTAGTGATCCTCATTACTTCTTACTTTTGTGTATCATATTCATCAAGCACATGAAATAAAATTGAGTTTTACGCCCGAGACAGGGGCGAGGTATCTGAGATTGCCCGAATCTCTAACATAGTTATGAGATTTTTGCCCGAAAAACTTGCTTCCGAGGCTGCGAAGGGGTGGGATAATTTGTAATCATATTTGCAATATCAGTTCATCATCTTCAGAATATCATTTTGATGAATTTTATAAAATTGATGAAAATGACCAGGAATCATTTTTGAAACATTTAGATTAATTTTTAGCTCTAGTAGAAAAAAATGGCAGGGGTCATGGAGTCAGGAATGGTCAAAAATTTTTAATCGTTGACCAAAGTTATATTTTTAACTGACATAAACCTATTGTCTTGTGTTGCGGTGAAGATTATCCTGAAAAGAATCTCACGCATTCACAACTACACACGAAACCAGCGATTTTATTGTAAGATGGAGAATTTTAATAAGACTTAATTATAGCAAGTCGACGATAAGAAGATTTACTCGTGTTAAGACATTAAAACATATAGTAAACGGTCAGAAGGTGCTGTCTAAAATTGTAAACACGTTTTTTTATATTTTAAAATTATCCTTGGATTTAAGATGAATTTTTGGATTAACTAACAAATAGCCAGAGAGTGTGTTTCTGGTTCAAAAGGTTTAAGATACTATCAATTAGATAAAATTCTTAAATTCGCCATATTAAGAATATAACCATGCACTCAAATAAATGTTGTGCGTGCATAAACCGAAAAATATTGACACCGAGATTTTTGGTTGGTAAAGGTCATGGGTAATGTCTGTAATGAACAAGTTAAGCAGTTTTCGTGCGATTTATTACAGCTTTCGAGTTCAGGTCGAAGCTGTATTGTTTTCGTTATGTTTTTTTATTACAGCTTTCGAGTTGAAATTATGCCCTGAAGCAAATGAACAGAAACTTGGTGCCGTTGGCGTATATTACTGTGTCTGAATAAGCTTGAATTTGAAGATAAATTTAGAAATATAGGAAAGTGCTCTCTGCTTTTAAAACATTGATATTTTGACTTTGATGATCACAATTCTACGTCACTGATAGCCAAATTAATAGGATATTCCTATAGACATTTTGCTTTCGTAGCTGAGAGCTAAATTTCGAATATCCACATCTCTTTTTCAGACATGTGCATCTTTCACAAATATGATTCAAAAATAAGTTTTAGACTCACAATCCGGTTGAGTTTCATAGCGGAAATATGTTTAATCAGCTGGTAAAGCGAATAACCTGACAAAATCACTTGAAAAATCAAGAGTAAAAATCTGATATCCCACAAAAAGTTATAAGGGAGAAAATCGCATTTAAAGTATATCATGTTGTTGCTCCTTTTTTTATTCAAAGCATTTGAATATTTCAATGACAAAATAATGATATTGGCCCTTTCCAGATTTTTATTGATCTTATATCATAAAAATTGTAAATATAGTTTGACCAAAATCGCTTTCAGTGGGATATCAGGTGGTTGCTGTTCGTAAGACAATCATTTTGAAATACATAACTCGTTTTTGAGCAAAAAAAGGATTATCATTTGTTGAAAATTCATATTGGTTGTATCATTTATATTATGTATTTCAAATTTCTTACCTTATATTCTACTGTTCTGTTTCCGTGAGATCGACAACTATTCTTGATAGGAAGCCATATGCACAAATAACAATCTGTACAGTTTCACCTTCACTTAATTGCATTCACTGCGATTTTTTCAATGAAGTTTTTATTCGATTGATCAATTTAGTCTTGGTCATACTGCTAAAAATATTCATTTTATTTTTACACGCACACACAAGCTCATTATTATACAAAATTAAAAATTTCGTGTATAAAAATTTCAAACAAAAGGGAAGGGATTAATATTTTATCGGTGGCTCAATAAAAAGTTAATAAAAGGAAACAATAAGTGTAGTAGAGACAATATAATTATATACTGTGTTAACCCTATCATTCATATTTCAATATATTTTTCAAATAAAGAAAAGAAAGTAAATGTACGAACTTCTAAGATCATAATAAAGGACGGGTTTGTCTATTGTGTAATGGTGTCATCTTTTCAATTAGTTTTATTTTAGTGAAAGTTTTCTATGTTTTTAATATTAATAAGTGCATCTTAGTGGTTTTATCTATCTATCTATGAATAGTTGAAGGAAGAATTTATAATACACTCATGGAACCTGTTTGCCCCCTCCACCAGTTCCACCCAATAGAGTGTTCTGAGCCTATCTATAATAGAATAAGCCTTTGGGGGAATTAGATTGTCGAAAATCAAACGAAATCAAAATCGGTAGGCCAATAGCCTATGTCCTAGATGGTTTGGTAACGGTTGATATTTTTTCCATCCTGGTACTTTATGTCACCAGCTTATTTAGTTCTTCTCGGGTGTAATATATGTCCGGATCATAGAGTTATATAATAAGAACTATTTGGTTTGGATATTGAATGAATTTGTTGTGGTCTTAGTCTGTATAGTTTAGCACAGTTATCTTTGGTTTGTTCCCATTTATGTTGAAAGGGGTGGTAGGGTCTAATTTCCAATATTATTCCATTTTCATAGGCAAAGATTGCGTTACTGTTTTCAATGGAATATATTTATTGATAATTTCGTTTTAAAGAATAAATAATAAGTTTACTTCAACAAAAAAACGAATATTATACGCCACTTTTTGAGATTGCACCCCTTTCAGATACATTGATCAAAGATGGCGGCAAATATGAACTAAAACTTACAAGAAAAGTCAGTAACATATTTTTATTTGTATTTTTGAAAGTAATAAGCTTTGTCATGAACCCAGATTTATTCCCAATCCAAGTGTCATCGAAGTTTTATTTATCCTTACATTTTAAAAGCCATTTTGTCTTTTAGAACAAGTAGAAAACAAACTCATTGGACTTGAGTGTCTTCTTGAAAGGAACTGATCTGAGAAAAATTTGTGATTTGTTGGGCATTGTCATTTTATTCCACACCTGCAGTGCATGGCTCGGCAATATGAGTCTGGTTAGAGCTAGTCTTAGGGCAGCCTAGTCATAGGGCGAGTGAGAACCTTCAGCCCCTCTGTCAGTTATTCGGGTTGACAAGAACATGGGAAGAGACCCTGTGTGCTACTAGGTTGTGGACACCAACCAAAGATCCCTTTACTGTTTGAAAATGAAAAAAGAAGTAATGCCAATGGCATAGGTTATTGTACATAAAAATGTTTCTTTTTAAGTTAAATTGTTTCAGATATCTTGGTCAAATTTGAAAGATGTCGCGCTTCACTCCAGAAAATCCTTCTCCTTTAGTTCGAGGACCTTTAACACGATCTAAAGACAGAGTAAGATCTAAAACACCTCTGACACCTCTCCAACATTTAAAAAAGAAATTTGAAGAAGAATTACAATTTAAAGTAAAGAAAGATGATGAGATTAGTCCAATTTTATACAATCTTAGAAATACTCCAGGTAATTTTCTCTAGAAGTCCATCTTTATATGTCTTTTCCATATCTCTGAACCTTATGAATAATGTTTCTTTTCACTAATGATCCCATTGTCACTGACAGTTGGAACTTTTTTCATTTGTTGATAAAGATCAATTTCATAAAAAATTGAATTTTAAGTAGGTAAATTTAAGGTATAGATCTACTTTGAGCAAAGGTTGATAATAAAGAGAATGTTATTATTAATCTAAAGTAAATAACCTAACTGAATCTGAACTCAGTTTTGACTTGATCATTATTATTTCAGTTAAAACATTAAAAGAGAAACAGAAGGTATTGGCTAGGAAACATGAAGAAGTGAGAAAGAGAAGTGATAATGTTAAAGTTGGTGGTGGTGTGTCTCTGTGGCCAGAAATGGAAAACATGAGATTAAGACATGAAGAAATCCTACAGTTAATTTTCACATCTCTTTTACTGGTTTTACTACTGGCTATTGCCTTCTATAAGTTCCATGGTAAGAGACATCGCACTTCGAAATGCTACGTTGGATAATGCTAGGAAAGTTCTATAACATTGACATTTTATTGATTATGAAATTTGATAATCGATAATCGAAATTATAGATTCCAGCCCTATCTATGTCTCCTTTGAGACTGAGTTTGTCAACTTCATATCCAATAAAATATTTTTCTAGTTATGGTTTTTCAAAAGTTATGAAACTTTCTTTTCAGTTTCAGTTCATATTTGCCACCATCTTTGATCAGTGAATTTTTTAGGCTCATCACATATTTGCTGCCTTTTTAATAAAGAATTTTTATCATTATTTGTGTTTTCTAGGTTCATCACTATCCAGTTTAATAAGTTATACAGAAGAAATTCATAAATTCTCCATGATACACCCTGTTGATACAAGAAACAATAACAGTTTAAAGATGACTTTGTTAGTCTGGCATAAAAACTACAGAATATTAATAGTAAGTCATTCTATCGAGTTTCTTATAATATGTTAGTGTCAGTATGAAAAATATGTTAATACCACACACTTTCTCTTAAATTCTGCTTTGCTTATTCATTTCTATGAGTCTAATATTTGCATTCGAATTCGAAAATTGACTGATCAACAAAGTTATAAACCATTGAATTTTATTTATTGTTCATCAAACAAGGATTAATTCTTCCACAAATAGTAATGAAAAAGTGTTGTTCAAATGTAAACAAAAACCTGTAAATTTGTGTTCAATGGGATAAAGATTATCTCACATCTATAATTTTGCAGTTATGTCACTGATATTTTATATTTCAGAGAAAGATTGAGAGAGAGTTTGATATGACGAGACTATCCCCACCCTATCAGATGTTTTTATTATTATATATATCTGCCATCTTGTTACTGGTATATTTCCTTATTGATAATGTCTTCAGTAAAAATAAACTTTCACCTAGAAGAATTAAAAATTGGTGAGTAAATGAAGTTTATAAATGTATGAGAATCCAGCTTGAAAAGATTTGGTGATATTGAAGTTGCTATCTCGGTTAGTGAAATGTATCAGTACTGGACAGAAAAACAAAGGTTCTATCTTAGTTAATTGGACAGCAAGCTCCTCCTCAATCTGCGCCCTGCAGACCCTGGGTTTCATCAATCATTTTTAACTTAGATGACTGTTTCATTTTGACCATATTAATTCTGCTGGCTTAAAGACTCATTTTTGGCATTTTTATAAATCATGAAGTAGGGGGGAGAAGGAATGGCCACAAAATTGTAAATAGGGGCTCACTGGCAATTCTTTCACATTGATAAGAAATTTGAACATTAGTTCTGAAAGGGCAGCCCCCTTTCACACCTTTCCTCTCGTGACACAATAAAACATTGAGTCTTATGATTTACAAATTTGACAGATAATTTATTATTTCATATTTTCCTCTTCAGGGTGAGATTACTAATATTAGTAACAACATGGTCTGTTTTAATATCTTACTGGTTAATCTGGGCTTATAGACTTGAACAATCAGTACATCATAATATAATCCTTATAACAGATGTTTTGGTATGTGAATCGTATTTATTCCATGTTAAAAGAAATTTCGGAAGTACCAAGAGAAGTCTACTTCCAAAGCATAAAGGAAAAAGGACAATTCCATATTTAACTAGTGTAATAAATTTGTGGACCCTGTCTGCTGGATGGTACTTGGGCAAACCTCTTTGATATGAAGATAATCTGTATTTATTAACAGCAAGAGGAACTGTCTAGAGTCATTTCTTATTTAAGGTCACTTCATTTTCGTCTCTAGTTTTTGAGAATTTTTACAATTTGGCATAATAATTGTTGATTGAAAACTAATCTGTTGTTCCAATCTGTTTCAGGGAGATGTTATTGATAAAGATTTAGATGTAGAAGTTTTAAACAATGTGATATTTTATTGGAGGACACGATTGTTACCTCCCAGTGGGCGGAGCCTTATTTTAATATTAGGTGTATTACCTGTCAGTGATGTTATACATTATCTACAGTATTATAGTTTACCTATATTAACTGTTATTCTAACACCTATAGTTAAACTGATACTAGCACTCTCACAAATATACTCTTGGAAAAAAATTATATAGTGGAGAACTATTAAATTGAAGATAGATATATAGAGTCGAGCTGCATTCAACTAATTGCTGATAATCAGGAAACTCTGATATCATATATTACATATTATTTATAAATCACATTGACCAACATACATCATAAAATCTATACAACATATACTTTTGTCTGCATCCAGTATTGTACATATAGCTGACAGAGTAAACCTAAGTGATGTAAAGCCTACCCTTTCAGAAGGGTGTCTGTGTATTCAAAGATGTTTTGTTCGGAATTAATGTGAATGTGTCCTGACAAATCATGAAGTTATAAATTTAATCACAAGAATATACCAAAGAAGAATGATCTTATAATATTCATATATATATGCTCAACTTGTTGATATCTTTTTATAATTAATCTATTTTCTAGTTTTATTTAGGATTATATTTCATTTTGTCTGATTTTTTAAAATGTTAATTAATACTTATAGCACATGATATTGTAGAAATCTCCTAGTTGAAACTTTCATATGTATTTATTACATGATGAACAATACTCAAATGGGCATTTTAGATTATTTTTAGTTTTTATAGTGCTATAAATTATATTGTAATTCTTATTTTCCTCTTATTTTTTTATATTATTTGATAGTGCTGTATTTTAGTAATTTTATTTTCAAAAATACTTTTGTTTTATTTGCATGATAATTCTTCTCTAGTGGCTATGTTAATCCCTGTCAGTGATGCAGGTCGGATGGGCTGACATTAAAAAATGTGTCTAGTTGTTCATCCCAATAAACAGAGGTTCCTATGTGCTACAGGCTGTAGCTGGTTAAGATCCCTTGACAGTTGGAAATTAAAAGAAAGTGGGAGAATGCTGTTGTACTACAAAAATTTCCGGACACTGCAATGTCTTCATTTGCCCAATGAGATGCCGAAAAGTGTGACATTTCTCATACGAATTTGATGCATATCAAGGGAGCTGGTATATTTTAACTTATTGTACACTGCACAGTATTGCTTGTCTATCTTAGTCCAATAACTTGCACAAAGGTGTGGGGATGTGGATCTGCAAATGCCTTTTCTCATAGACTATAATTCATTCTGCTCTGTCTTGAGGGGTTGACTCAAAGTGAGAAAATGTTTGGAAGGATATCAGATTATTATTGTGAAGTGCAAAATGTAAACACTGGTTTGATAAAATGTATAAAGTACAAAGCTTGGTTATTAAAGTAATAATTTTAATAAACATATAAAACTTGGTGGTAGATCTATATATAAAAAACCTATCTAACTATCACAGAGGGCGATGGTTACCGATGATTACGTATATTCAATTTTCTGGCTTGTAACTTCAGAGAATATGACATTTCTTCTATAGCCCCGTCAGATGTCTATAGAATTCATTTTTTTTGTTCAAATTTTGAAAAAGACTTTTTCAAAATTATTTACAGTTCACTATAATTCTAGCACTTATTCAACTTATCCAATTATTGATGCTGTATTATTTGTGGCATTCTCTATATTGTATATAACTGTATCTGTGGTCTATTATCTTATAACTATGTGTAGAGAGTGATTTATCGTCTGATAACTGTATGTGTAGCACTATCTGATAATAATACAGCATCTTCCTGTATTCCACACATTCTTCTTAATCTTAATATCTCTTCTTTATATCTGAAATTACAGAAAATATAGAGAGCTGAAACTTAATAGCAAATTGCTAATGTATAGTAGTACAACAAGTTCTCCAAAAGGTTTTTTACATCTGAAATAGCAGTAAATACAGAGTGCTGACACACAGCTAAATTCTGATGCATATTGTAACAAAAAAAGGCTATAAAAGTCAAAATAAACATATTGATAAGTACATTATCTAAGTTACAGGTGCTCTGTAGTGTAAACTATATTGTGCACTACTAGATCTGTCACTACAACCACATTTCCACAAAGTGATCAGGTTTGAATTGGAAATTAAATGGAACAAGATCTTTTACTCATGTCTGCAGCAGTTGTTTCAAATAAATATTTATTCCTTTTGAAAACTCCTTTTGCAGTATTATTGAAAAATGCAAGTTTTTATGGCTATGAAAGTTGGAAATTATAGGGAAAACCTACCTTACTAAATGATTATCAATATAATCTTGACTTTCTCTCAACTGTTCTTTTAATACATTATTTTCACTGAGTAACCTGGCTCTCTCCTGTTCTAACCCTTGTTGGGTATTCAATGTAAACTCTCTCATTTGTTTACGTAAGCTTCCCCACGAATCACTACTAGGACCATCTTTATTATTATCACTACTATATAATCCCATCTACAAATACAGATATCTCTTAGTTTACATACATTATAAATACAAATATTGAAATTATCCAACCTATATTGCAGTGAGTTTGATTTCTTTGTTCTGAGTGAATGAATGAATAGATAGCACTAAGGCCATACAAAATAAACAGTCTGTATAACAGGCCCAAAAATACCTGATTGTTGCCTAAATATTAAATGTACATTAAATTTGTGGTAATAAATAATAAATGCTTTGGCTCACTCTGAATTATTCCAGTTGAAAATCTTAAAAAGCGCTGAATGAATAAATGAAACTATAATGTTATCAGATAGGCTATAGGGGAGTTCAGATGTAAGGAATAGGAACAGTACCCCGCTCATCCTCTCAAGACAATGCCTCCTTCTGGAGCCATACAGTGTCTACCTTCACCCCATGAGATCACCACAACCAATGTTATAATATTTGACAATCCTTTCAGTTTTTATAGAACATTTCTTAATAAGAATGACACATTTGCCATTAATTCATATTTAAACTCATGACTGAATTACAATTCACATTTTAGACCCTTTCCATTCCAGAAGTGAAAAAGCTCAGTTGTTAGCAAACCCCAAACAACACCACAATCTTTTAGAAAACCCACAGCTTACCCTTATTTTATGAGATTCACTATCCGATCTCATATTAGATAATTCAGCTTTTAGACGTCCAATTTCCTTCAAATGAGCAGACTGGATATCAGCATCTGATAAATTGAGGTGATGTTCGTCAGGTCCCATATCAGCCTCTGATATTCCACGAGCTTCACACAGTTGACGCATATTTCTACAAAAGATTGGAATATTATTTCAGTTGAAATCTTGAATAGGGTGTATCAACATGGATGAACACCATAACATGAATGACTGTAAATAACATGTTAATTAATTTTAAAATTCTGTGTACATGTACAAGAGTCTATTTCTACTAATAATTTACCTATAAGCAATCAAGACTTCTTCAAATTTACGTAGAATATTTTGTAATCGATGTTTGTAATTTTGAGCTGCTTGACTGAGTTGATTTTCTCGGTCTCTGTGAGAACGTCTGATATCTTTCAACATACTATGAGTGTATTCTCTCAATCGGGCTTCAGTTGCAGCATTAGGCACACCACTTCCCTTGTCTACATACTCCTAAAACATAATATAATTTGTATAAGTTTAGTCAAGCTTAAATATTATGTGGATTTTATGTCTTTATTCAAAAATAGAGAAAATTTTGATCGCTACTGTTTCAATTACAATTCATTCTACCTCAAATGAAAATGGATTGTACTATGTTCGAAAACATACTTGGATGGGCATCAGTAGCAGTTCCATGAATTATTAGAAGGAGGGGCTGAAAATGGGCCTCGTTATTGTCAAGGAGGCTCACAGGCTTTTCTTTCACATATTGAATAATAAGAGGGGTAGCCAAAACTGGGCCAGCCTCACTTCTGGAGAGCCATGGCACTGATGCGCATATATATCAGATGTCTAACCACCAGAGAATTGGAATGATTTTGATTAAAACAAGATTAAACAAATAGGGAGCTAACTGACTTAATTGGGGGACAACTGTGAAGGTTGAGCCTCCCCTGCACCCCAGTGGATTAACTTACTGAGATATCTTCTATATATTTGACTAATCTAGCTCGATAATCTTCACCAATATCTTTCACTTTATGTTGCATTCTATTTAACTGAGTCTGAATAGATTCATTTTCTCCTCGTAATATTATCAATTTCTACAAATATAAAACACTTATTGTATGTATAAAGAATGGAAAACTTTTCGCTCTTCAATATCATAAATTCTGAAAATAAATCCCCCTAAAGAAAAAAAGCAAGGGATCAAAAATATAAAAATATTGGTTCATTAGACAAATCTGAACTTTGACATACAAAGTAAGGATCAACTTTACTATGGTATAATAAAGCGAGCTATATAGTCACACATGTTCTCTTTCAAACATCTACCTCTAAGCCTGTAAAGTGAATGATAGATTGACCATATCCTTTTAATATCTTTAACAAAAGTTCAGAACAACATTATAAACTTACAGCATTTAATTCTGAAACTTGATGTTGTCTCTCTCTGGCCAGATTTCTTGCTTGTGTCAATTCCTTGTATATATTAGTCCTAAAACATAATTGTATAATCTTAAAATCATCCGACATATATTATGGCTTTGATTGAATCCGAAAGTTTGCTCTTGAGGCAAAACTTGAAAACATGTGGAGCTGGTCTACAATAAGTATTGTGAAGGGTGCTTCTAGCAAGGCCAGGCATTACCATTTTTTTTTAGGACCTATGAGCGAGGCAAATCTTGGAAACTCCATGTGAATGCTGTATCACTTCCAGACAAATCAGATAGTTAACCTCTTAAAATAACTCGTTTTTTCTTGATACTACGCCATATATAGAAAACACATATATAGAAAACACATATATAGAAAACACATATATAGAAAATAGAAAACACATATATAGAAAATACATATAGAAAAAGAAAGGGAAATTTCTGGTAGGACAGGCTTATGCGATTTTCGTGCATTTCTGGTAGTTCTGAAGATTATTTACATATATTCAAGACCTAAATGAACCTCCAAAAATGGCGAACCATGCACTTTTAAAACTCTGAAAAAATTGATAATGTATACTTACAATCTTCCTTCTAGTCTCTCAGTATCATTGCCTTTGTCTTTCTTTAATCTGGAAATCTCATTTTCATAGAATCGGTTCCTACTCAATATCTGAAAACAAACATTCATTTCAAATGGCTGCACAGGAGCATGTAAAGGAGATATGATGTGCTTTCTAATTATGACATACAAGGTATTGCCTTACTCTGAGTAAATACCTAGTTTGGGGATATGATATGAATGTAAAGCCACTTCATAACAGAGGTGGTGCTGGTCATTAAAGATTGGGCCTTTTCTGTGAAATCCACTTGATTATGCTTTAAGGATGATTTTAAGAAATAAGGGTTTGACAGTACTTACATTTTCTGCAGTACGATCTCTATCACTCTGATCACCTATAATTTGATCAACTCGAATACGACCATTGGAGTTTTTAGCCACCAGTGCTTTAATTCTGGCTATTTCAGCGTTAGGATCCCCAACTGTCGTATCTCCATTAGTTAATACTCGAACTTGTCTCATCAAGGCAGCTTTAGCATTCACTAGATTTCAACAGTTCAATGGCTAGCTCTTCATTTCTTGCAACCTATAATGACAATATTAATTGTAAGTCTCAGGAAAAGATCAACAATCCAAGCCCTCGATCCCTACCAAAGTTAATCTTTTAAGCTTTTAGCCGCTGATTCAAAAAGAGTTTCCTTTCTCATGACTGTCTAAACCCAAACTGCATGCTAGACCTTTCAACCTGATCCTCATTCTTCTATTGGAAGATGTCACTAGAAGGTATTGAGCAATGGAGGGAGGGGGTACAATGAGCAAGAATAAAGAATAAAGGGACAACAGAATTTAGTTCACTTACCTCCCTTGTGTGTTCTTTACTTAAAGCTGAATAATTTGATTTCAAGCCTACATATTCATCAGCTAGATCTTTCCTATCTTTCTCCATGTCAGCCAGTTTCTCCTTTGCATTCTTAGCTCCCTTTAAATGTCTATCTCTTTCTGTTTCTGCCTCTAATAACTGGTTTTCTAACGTTATTATCTGGAATAAACCCAAAAAATGAAGCACTGTTGACTAAAATGTTATTGTCTTAAATCATCTTTCGTAAGTGGTTTAAGGGTCCCTTTGTTTCTGATATTCTCTGATGTTCTATCATCATTATTATTTGTGAAAAAACATTTTTCATTTAGCAAACTGTTGGTTGCAACACTAAAATGAATTGCATTTAAAGTTAAGTTAAGCAATCAACAACAATTACTTACCTTATTTGTCAGTTCAAATTTGGTGGCTTCAGCATCCTCCTTGATCTTATTATTCTCTATCTGCATCTCAACTAGTGACTGAGACACCTATATAATAAAATAGACATGAAATGATTACTTCTATAGAAAATCAATGTCAATATCAGCACATTGAAGTAGATTTTGCAATGGCTCTGCAAAGATCTTTAATGTTGAAAATCTGTATCCTGGGCCTTTGTTTGTTTTCTATCTTAATGACCAGAGAAAAGGGGATAAAGATTAGAGGATATTTTGTGGCCAATCCCTTGACAGCTAGAATACAAGTGAACTATTGACACATACCTTTAGTTTCTCCTCCTCACTAGCCAGTAATTGTTGTGACAGATCAGTTTTAGTGTTAGATAAATTACCAAACTTTCCTGTCAGCGATTCCAATCGATGCTGTAATCTCTCATTCTGGTCTTTTAATATCAACTGGAAGAAAGAAGGATCAAGATTTAAAGTGTGTTTATAACTGTGAACATGCTCTGCTGCGTCCATTTTGGACATTTTTCAAAAAACACTATTATAATATCTGTCATCCAGTCTCATGCATTAACCAAGTTGATTTTTATATGCAGTATTTTTTTTCAATGTTTTAAAGCACCCAGGGATAAATTAAAATTCCCTAACATATGAATCAGAAGGTTTGGTATTCAACAGGCATGAATTAGAAGCAACAGAACTTACATTTTCAGTTTGTAACGCTCGTAACTCGTCATCTCCCTGTCCAAGGGGAATAACTTTAAAATTAGTTGTTGTTGGAACATCTTGAACTGTAGTGGTCACTTGTGGAATGGTGAAACCCAGTGGTGAAGCCCTCAATCCTTCAAATACAGGAACATTGGTCACTTCCACAGGACTGGACCGGGTAGTGGTTGTGTGGTTGATAACTGATCTATACTGAGCCATTAGACTCTGAAAGAGACAAAATAATTACATTTAGAACTAAGCTTGAAACTAACCTTTAAGGAAGCCTTTACTTTAAAAGGGCACCAAAATTGTAAGTTTTTGCTCTGAGAATCGTTTTGGAGATGTAATTTCATGGATTCCAATGGATTCTTATATTCTTAAATGCCTCATAAGGATATGAATTCATGAATGACAGATTGTACGAAAGATTAAGCCACATTATCTACAGTATTAAGATGCCACAAAAACAGAGATAGCCTGTCTAAGGAATGTTATTAAGAGATATTTGGACAAAATTAATAAATCAAACTCACTTGTGCCAGATTATCATTAACTATAGGAAAATTCTTTACTTGAGATAAATTCAGAGCAAATTTAAGAACACCATTAGCTATTTGTTCTGTAGTTCGTGGTTTTAAACAGATGATAGCTCTAGTTTTACAATTTCCTCCAAGTTGTTCTTTTAATAACTTACTCAACACACTCTGACTGGAGAAAAAATAATGAAAAAGATGTTTTCTCTTACAATGTTACTATAATAGGTTTTAAGAAGGGAATACTGCAGGTTTTAGTTCGTGATCAGTTAAATGAGAACTGATATCATCTTGTCATATACAAACCAGTTGAGTATAATGGGTGATATCAGTTAATTGGAAGTACCACATTCTCCTTGTTTTAATATTGAGGTAGATTATTTTTACTTAAGGAGCCATACCATAACTTATCATCTTTACGCCAAATCAAAAGTCCATAACTCACCAGTAAATTCAGAACCATAAGAGATGTCTGAACTAAACTGAATTTTTTGCGTGTAATGAGAATAAAGCACACATTGTAGAAAAAGTGTTACTTACTCGTAATTAATAATTCGTTCTGGTTGTGGATTAGCCGCTAAAGAAGTTACCACATAATTTAGACCAATCAGTGACTTACTTATATTCACCCGTTCTCTCTGTCGTAGCTCGTCAGGATGTACTGAGAGCTTCTCTAAACCTGGTAGTTCCACTACTGTTAATCGAGATTTATTGGGTTTCACACTCTCTCCTACTTTCTGAAAACACAGAAAAGATTTATTTATTATATTTATTACAGGCATCAGTTTATTTTTTAGATTTGCAATGATGGTGAACAAGGTTGTCCTCGAGGTCATCCTACTACCTATTAACTTCAAACTGCGTTTTATATATCACGTTTAGTTCTCATCTAAATAATAAATGACCATTTCAATTTCAATATTGTCTTTTTTATTAAACAATGTATATCAATTAATCTTCGCTAAAAAAAAAATTCAGTTCAGTTATTAAGATAACTTCATTGATATTAGCTGATTAAACCTGAATTTCTAAAAAATCTAAAATCTCTATAAGTGCATTGAAAATGTCTCAAAACTGGAGTTCATTTAATCTCAAGATCTCCATTATTTGAATGTATAGATATTTTTAGTTTAACTATAATCTAAAGTGTCAAGATATGAAACATGCACTATTCAATTCAATTCTTAACTTTACATCTTTGATAAAAATTTATCTAATAAAATTTATACAATTTTATGTAGTTTTTTAATCTAATAAAGATTCTTCTTCCAAATATTGTACTAAATATTGAATATTACTAAATATTGAATATTACTAAATATTGAATATTACTAAATATTGAGTATTTTACTAAATATTGAATATTTTACTAAATATTGAATATTTTACTAAATATTGAATATTTTACTAAATATTAAATATTTTACTAAATATAAATATTTTACTAAATATAAATATTTTACTAAATATAAATATTTTACTAATATTAAATATATGACTAAATAGTAAATATTTTACTAGAAAATAATCGATGATAATGATTCACATGCAACTGAAAAGAACAGGTTTGGTGGCATTACCTTCTCTTGTAATCAAAAAAGATTATGTTAAGCTTGGGACTGTTTGACTGAATAGTTTATCTGAGATTTTAATATCAAACAATAATATTAACGTCCATAAAATGCTATGAATGAAAGTAAATCTTAGAATATATAAATCAAGATTATATCCAAAATATTTGCAAATGTTATCTCTAAAACTAAGAGTAACTTAAAAAGTTAATTTCTACTTCAACTTGCATTTTGTTGAATTAAAGAAGATCTTACCACTTCTTTAAACTTGAGAAGTTATTACATTTAATACTACTACTGACTAATACTATCAAGAAATAATACTTGCTAAATTTATCTAATAAAAACTACAAAATGTGTTCTCAATCTAATTTAAACTTACTTTTCATTTCACCTAATCCTGTAAAAATTTTAACATTTTATCAAAGAAAGTTCAAAGACTTTCAAAATGGCTGTGATATGTTTTGGTTGTTAATGACAACAAAACCAAAAGGTTTTTATTGAAAAGGATATGAATGAAATGAATTGTTGGAGGTGTTTTGTATTGACTCTGTGCTATTTCTAATAAAGCCATTTTGTATTAGTTGACACTAGTAGAGCCTGAATAGACCAGTCATGACTATAGACTATCCTCGGTACAATGTACTCAATGTCTTGTATTGTTTAGATTTCTTATCACACAAAGTCAATATTGGTGATTTTACAAGTTTATAAAATGAATTTTTACTAAATTACTAAACATTTAAAAGATAAAAGATAGTTTCTTTAAGAAAAGTTAGAATTTTACAATTCTGAATGCAGAAAACAATGGTGAATGTGTTTAAATGTTTTGAATTGTGATACATAGCAACAAAACAAAATAATAATATCAATATTTCAACAGTGTTAAGTATAAGAATCTCTTATGAATTTTCTGATGTTCTATCTAGTAATTTCATGCTTATAAAACCCACTAAAATTATGACTCTGTGGTAATTAAAAAATCCTAATTAAGTTCTTCACAAGAGCAAGAAGAGAAAAACATAAAGCGAAATATTTTCTAATTAATTTTAGAGACTAAATTTTACATCATTATACTCATAAGAAAAATCCCAGAAAATGCCTCATTCTGTCATTGGTTACTTTCACAGAAATTCTTAAGAAATGTGTGTCAATCACAAGAACAACCTTTGGTTTCTTCTTGAATTTCTGGAGATTCAATCATTAAGCATCTTATACAGAGACTAACTCAATACAATCTATCTCGTTACTATCTGAGCTTTCCTACTGCCCCCATAAAACACAGACAACTGCAGACAAACTGCTCTGTTCTGATTGATACCCAAATAAAATAGAAAAACAATAAAATTCACCACTTCTAAATCAACATGTGTTACAATAGCAGCATGTTTTTCAGCAGGACCAAAATCTGTCATGGTTTCAGTCTGTCGGCCCCAACCCTGAAGAAATTGGGATGCAGCAGAACTGGCATTTCTTACATGTATCTTCATAGCATTCTGGAAGAAATTTAAAATAAGACATCAATGTCAAGTCAGATCCTCTCCCTGTTTCTCAAAATATCTTTCAATAAAATTCAATCAAATATTTATTGTAGGCAAGTCTACCGGAAAAGTTTGTCTTAAGATGTCTTTTTCTTTTGTAAGATCTACCTCAATGCTAAAGGCTATAGATGTTATTTGAAAAACATATAATTCAAAAAAAGATCGCTTAATAGCACTTTCTTCTCTAGACTATTAAAGGAGATATATAAACTGAAACTAAACGGAAACAAACCTTAGCTTCTACACCATCTCTAGGAGTTTCAATCAACTCAACATAATTTGATCCTCCACCAGGAGGGTTTAATAAATCTTTAATTCGTTCATTATAAACTTCTAACATCTGTAGAGTAACCTTCGGATCACGTCTCATTAAATTTGTTTCTGGTATATACCGCTCTGAAATATTCGTTTTGCTTTAAGATTAAACACCCTAAATTTCATAATTTAAAGAACTTTTATGTATAAATATGCAAGTACAGATTTCAAAGATACAAATCTTTAAAAAGATCATTAATCAGAGGTTTGGATTAGGAAGAGTTGGTATACACTATCCATACAAGAAACCAAGCTGTTTGTAAGTTGGTATCATTCTTTATTTAAATATCAGTATTCATCCCCCTTCTGTGAGACTGTCTATTTCAATGATTAAACACTCTTCAAAGCATATTACCATTCTCATAATACTTAAATTTCTAAATTAAACTACTAAATTTTAACATACCACCAGTTAGTTTAGCAAATAAATAGTCAAATATCATTGGTACTATTCCATTATTAGTTTGACTGAGACCAGCTGTAGTAAATGATTTACCACTACCAGTTTCCCCTGCCACTAGTATACATACATTGTACCCAGATAGATACAACTCTACTAATAACTCTAATGAATTGTGGAAGATCTCTTGGGTCTTTGTTTTGGGGTGGTATAGTTTCTGAAAGCTAATATGTGATAAAATTTTCTAAAAAAGCCATTTGAGATAAAATTGATGTCTTTAATATTCTAATTCATGGTACATAAAAGGCCTAAATGTTCTTAAAATATATGAAATACTAAGACATGGTACATAAAATAGAGAAAAAAGAACTTCAAAATATTTACAATAGTTCATTATGAAATATTGGACTGAAAAGTCAAAATTTGGTTATATGTATTTTTACTTTTTTTTAAACTATTGTAAGCAAGTAGGACATTTTATGACTTTAATTTCATTAAGTAACGTGGATCTAAATCTAATTATTGAAATATGTAAGGTGCTCAAATTGAATTCACTTCAGATTTATTCAAGAGTTTTTAATATTACTTACTTAAAATGTAAGGATTGAGGTCCAGCTATAACCATATTTCTTTCATAGTCAATTTCCATATCAACCACCCTACCCTGACCCAGACTCATTGGTCTTATTCTTCCTATTACTTCTATATTCATCTTTTTTTTTATCTAATTTCTGAAAGGAAATTGCTGATATGGGTTTTCATAGCAATGAAATTCATTCAAGAGTTAACTAAGGGGCAATTCCATGGTAACGGACGTACATTTCAGACAATTTTCTATCCTTACCAGTAAAAGTTTAAGGCTGAAATGTTATTTGCAATATTTAAAAAATGAATGGTTTAAAACAGAGAACCATTATGCCTTTCAGTGGGTAATATTTTTTTCTGTAGCTACAAATGGCTCTATTTATTTGATAATTCAAGTTTAGTAACGGACATACAACCCAAAAGTTGTAAATTATGAAACCGTACGTTTAATACTGAAAGTCTGTGAATTATGGATTTCCAAAAAAAATTCTTCAGGATATATTTCTGCATATATTGAACAGTTAATCAACAATTAGTAAACATTCTAATATAAGCTGTGTTGCAGATGTTCTTTCATTTCAATTTACCATATCTGAGAAAATTGTTTCAAATTTCTATGTTTGTAATAGAAAACGGGATTGAGAAAAGGGTTTAAAGATTATAGATTCTTTGATTGAAGTCAAAAAGTCCCAAGAAGTTGTTTTTGGAAAGTTAGTAATTTTGGGAGTGGGTAAGTATTCTTAAAATTATGTAAATGACGTTGTCATCTAATACAACGGGTTATAAGCCAATTAATGTAGCTGAAGGATTGGGTCTGATTAGCCTACTGGATGCCGCTGGATAAGTGGATAGTGAAACGGAAAAATCAGAAATTAAACTTTCAAAGACTCACAATGACAGATTCTCAATTGTCTTCATTTGGCATGAATACGAAAGGATAACTAATTTTGAGTCCTAAAATCTCTTCTAGAAATTAGTTAATTGTTCTAAATATGTCATTCATTATTATTTATTCTTTCTTTGATCATGATAAAATATTTTACTTTGTTTACATTCGCAACACAGATTCTTATCCCATCAGTAGAAGAGCTACAGAAAAGGGACACTACCAGATTATATAATTTCAATATTCAGACTACAAATAACTCGTTGCAAGTTTGAGCTTGTTGACAATCTCCATTTTGTCTGTCATGTGACTGAAATCTAAAGATTCCATTGGTCAATATCTTAAATCACGTGGTAAGCAACCATTCATAGTTTACAAAATGGCTGTCAAGTCGAAGGAATTTTCGGGTCATGTGAAGAATAAATCGTAATTTTTATGGATTTCGCGATGAAATAAAACAAGATGTAATAGGTAAGTTACGGTTCCATTTTTGTCTTCTGCAAATAACCATTAAGCTGACGTAGTGCTTTTTAGAGCTGATATTGCATATAAATCATCATGATGCAGATTTTTTTTTTTACTTTGTTGATCTGAGTGGAGTGATGAGAGGCCATGGCATAGCCTATCTATGAAATGATAAGTAGCTTACCTATTAAAGATATATCCGACCATTTGATACCTGATCCGTCATGCAGATAATTACATACCATTTGGTTCTGTTGCCTTGTTAAGCAACTTCCAAAGACAGTTAAGGCATATAAACTTGCCTCTTTTCTGTCTCTCTTCAGTTTGAAGTAGCTTTATTACTATTAGAGAAGGCATTAAGTTGATCAATGTTTTTAATGAATGAATAACTCTTTCTGCAATATCTCTACTGCATCTACTACCCAAGTCTGCTGACTAAAACAAATTAAATTGTTGCTTGGTATAAATAATGTATGATGTGTGATTGTATTTTTAATGCAGACATGTTTGACACACTCTTCGCTCAAATTTGTGTGGAGGTTTAGTCTGGAAAGGAATTTCCCCACAATTGAGTTGGTGGCTGAGTGTGTTAGATGGATGCTTGCTAACCTCAATCTCCATTCCGTCATTGGACCTGGGTGAATATATATCTTTGGATATACTGTAGCTGCAACTAATGAATTCCTTTGCATATTTCAGAGACATCCACCAAAACACCAACTATTACAACATCACCTATGTTGAGTTAAGATATATAGCTCTAGTTAACAATGGAATTTCGAAGTGGAAATTTGTTATTTACATCTAAATTTGATTCTGGAAATTTAGCTAATGTTGAACGAGTTTGTAAAGACGAGGATGAAGGAGGAGGAGGTAAGTCATCATGTTTAGTTGTAGAAAGATATTGATGATTTGAAGTTATAAATTCTGAAGGATTATAAGTTATTTCGAATATTTGTCTTGTTAAATTCACAGTGCAATGTCATTTCTAGTTTGAGCTCTATAAAAAAGGTCAAGTGGGGATTAGTTCACTGAGCAACTGGTTTTGGTGTGTTTTAATGTGAAAATATCATGTAGGGATTTTGTCACTGTGTACTAGCTTTGTGAAAGAAAAGACAATGAACTGTGTGTGGTAATTGAAACTAATTATTTTCCAGGTGGAAACAACAACTTTTCATTTGTTCCAGGTATAGATCTGAAACCAGATTATGAATATAATGTATGGACTAAACCAGACTGTGCTGGCACAGAATATGAAAATGGCAATAGGTAAGTGTGCAAGAAAAGCTTTACTTTATATTTTGTGCATTGAAAAATATGTTGTTTGTTTTACCTGATTGTGCCATTATTGCACCATAGATATCCTAAAATGAGCTATCACCAAACGTCCTTTAATATTTAGATATATACAAAAAGATGATTAAAAATCTGTGATTAACTTATTTGTCATTTTAATCATTACAGATCTTGGTTTTATTTTGGTATACGAGGCTGGGCACCAAATCGTTTGATAAAGATCAACATAATGAACCTCAACAGACAGGGTAAACTCTACAGTCAAGGTCATACACCATTTGTTAAAACTATACCTGGTAAACCAAAATGGGAGAGACTTAGAGATAGACCATCGTTTGAGGTTTGTATTTAGAATGGACTTTAGACTAGAATAATAGTATATTGAAAATGAATGTAAATATTGATTGTTTTTATACATCAGTCGAGGCCATATCAAAGTTTTTCAAATGTAAAATACATAAGCTTACATGTACATTTATTCATATTAGTATTCAAGATAGTGTTTATGTTACAATGGTCACAAACTAGGTTTTGCTTCAAGCAAAAAATGTGTGGGGTATTAAATCATGTGGTTTGGTAGTAAACAGACATCTTTATATTGCTAAGGCATGTGGTGTAATGCCTGTAGAAATTTCAAAGGTCCTAAATGAAACTAGACAGACATTTTATTGTATCATTATCGTACCTGATCTCTATTGATGTTATATTTCAGATGGTAGATGGGCAGTTTATTCTATCATTTATCTACAGATTTCCAGAATTTAAAGGCTCTACAACCTATTTTGCTTTCTGTTTCCCCTGGTCTTATACAGAATCTCAGAACCAGATGTCAGAGCTAGACAATAGGTTTGAGAAATGTAAAACATTTGACACTTCAACGTAAGTATTTCTTTTCAACGGTTCACTGTACCAAAAGATTTTGAATATCAGAACATAAAGAGATGTGTTTGATGTGGATGTGTTTGAGCTATTTTGTATTTGTATGCTTGTGAAAAATAATGATGTGATGTCACAATGTAAACAAATCTGTATAAATGATGTTCATTGTTTTGCAACATGCCACTGATGCTTCTATTGCAATATGAAAACTAAATTTTCTAAATAATTGTCTATAATTGCACTTGGAAAAACCTGTAATAAGCCTTTTGGGGTCTCTTTGGCTTAAAAATCGGGCCCCATTTCTCCAAGAACTGCGCCCAAGGTGAGGAGACATTTATGAATCTGTGCTATTTATTTCAGGCCAGTAAATTCTATCTACTACCATCGTGAGTTAGTGTGTTTAACTTTAGATAAACTACGTGTTGATTTATTAACTATAACATCTTGTCATGGTATAACTAAAGATACAGAACCCAGATTTGATAAACATCTATTTCCCGATCAGAGAAATCCCAGGTGTAAAAGATTTAAAGGGAAAAAGGTGAGTTCCTTTTTATTTGTCTGTGATATCAGTTCAGTGGAAGCGGACGTTAAGTTATAATCAACCAACCAGGTTCTTTTTAGTCTATTGTCAAATCATCTAACGGTTTGTCATAATTGATATGGGCTTGATAAGTCTCTTTCTGTATATTAGTAATGGTCCTTGCTTATTCCTACACTTTGCACACAGTTAACTCCGACAAATAGGATACCTAATCAGCTAGAATAGAAATCAAGTGATAGATATCATTTAAATTGCATACAGACTACAATAAATTAAGATCATTATTCAAAACTATATAATGAATGATTAAGACAGCATTTACTTGAATTATGTCTATTTCTAATTTCTAGCCAATATTCAATCATATTTTTTGTTGTCTTTGCAGGTTTATTTTCTAAGTAGTCGTGTACATCCAGGAGAAACGCCTGGTAGTTTTGTCTATAATGGTTTCCTGGAATTTATTTTACGAGAAAAAGACCCAAGAGCTATTCAGTTGCGAAAACAATATGTGTTCAAATTGATACCGATGTTAAACCCTGATGGGGTTATGAGAGGACATTATCGTACAGACCCAAGGGGAGTCAATTTGAATCGGGTTTATCTAGACCCTAGTCCAGCATTACACCCGTCTATTTATGCCGCTAAAAGTTTGTTAGTATATCATCATATTTATAATAGAAATATATCGGAAGGAGAGACAGAAACATTTCAGATTGGATTTCCGACATCAGAGAATCTAGAGTTCAGTCCTCAGTCCACCTCGCGAACTGTAGTTCCCAACAGTGCTAGTTGTGATGATATATCAGATACAGAAACAGGGGCAAACGCTGTAGTAGTTATGTCCCCTCATTGCTATTCGAATCTGGACCAATCAGATGGCTCAAATTTTAATAACAACATGAACCAATCAACTCATAAAATTGTGCTTTTAAAACATCAAGTTGTTGAACCGTTGAATTTAGCTGATTTAGATGGTACTGATACTTCAATCAGTGATTCTGGCCTGGCGCCAGAGATGTTCAATAACCCCTTCTCTCAAGTTTCCTCATCTTGTACAAGTGTTTTAAGTAACTTTGACCAAACAAAAGGTGAAGGTCGGAAGGTGAACAGTGAATTACGTTTACAATTATCGGAATTGACCATGTCTGAAGACTATCGTGGAGACAGTGCTTTTACTGACAAACTATCTGATTCAGATCCAAATTTAGAAACAGAACATCTAGGTAACGAAGGGTCAGAAGATGAAGGCGATTATGTCCCCTCGTCTAATATCAATGCCCCACATCTCGTGAATCCTAAATTATTAACAATATTACCCAGTGACAGTGGTATAGCTTTCTACGTGGATCTCCATGGACATGCATCAAAACGAGGAGCATTTATTTATGGTAATTATGTTGAAAATGAGGAAATGCAGGTAAATATAGGTCTACAATCTTATTAAGATATTCAAGATCTAGATGTTTGGTTTTGCATTTATCTATCACTAATTAAGATTTCAAAAATTTGTCTGCAAAACAATTGTCTTCCAGCTTTGACCTTCCTTCAGGAACAAATTTGTCTCTTTGAAATATATGTCAGACAGTAGGTTTCAGGACATCCAAGTTCTAACATTGGAATATCAAATATCAATTGTTGTTTTTTTTGTTTTATTTTATCTAGGTAGATAACATGTTATACACCAAACTGATCTCTCTAAATACAGCACATTTTGATTTTACTGGCTGTAATTTTTCTGAACGTAATATGTATTCGAAAGATAAACGTGATGGTATGTCTAAAGAAGGCAGTGGACGAGTTTCTACTTTAAAAGCTATAGGTATCATTCACAGGTATGTACATTGAGTCTGAAACATGCTAGATACTGGTATCTGGTTGATATATTTTGGCTGGGGTATGGTCAGAACCATCAAGTTGCTTTGTTATCTAGTTAAGCATTCTTTATCAAGCTATTTTTTACACTTAATTTACAAATATTATTTACAGTATCTCTTGTACTTGTAGTTGTATAAGTTTGTACTTGTATTTATCTTAGTTTGTACTTGTATTTATCTATTATCTAAGTTTGTACTTGTATTTATCTAAGTTTGTACTTGTAGTTATCTAAGTTTGTACTTGAAATTAACAAAGTTTGTACTTGTAGTTTTCTAAGTTTGTACTTGAAATTAACTAAGATTGTACTTGTAGTTATCTAAGTTTGTACTATTGTCTATTTCAGTTATACTCTAGAATGTAACTATAATACTGGTCGGATGGTAAATCCAGTACCTCCCGCTCAAAACGATGATGGTCGAGCCACCCCACCCCCATTAGCTGGGTTCCCTCCTAAATATACTCAAGCTCATTATGAAGAGGTTAGTCAAAGTGATGTTAATACTTATTTTAGCCCCTATTTTAGTGCGTCTGTTGCATTAGCCTTATCAAGTGCAGAAAAATAGGATGTAAGCTCATGTTTATTTGATGTATTAGTGCTGTCGAGTTGATGTCTGTACTAATACTGTTATAACAGTATAAAAATATGACTGAACATACTTTTATATCATAAATAAGAAAAGTGACAGGTTAATGAATATTTGCTAAGTAAGCTTTTATGATTTTTAATGAAACTTTTTATTATACGCCCACATCTCTCTATGTGGACGTATAGTGTCGGCACCCCTGTTCGTCCGTCCGTCCGTCAACATTTGCTTGTAAAAAACTAGAGTTTTTGATGAAATCAAATGAAATTCGGTATGTGTATACATATTCATAACTTCGAATTTGAGCTATTTCCGACCGTTAGAAGCAGAGTTATTGCCCTTGCCCCAAAATCTTGAATATGCTATTACTCTCTTAGTTTTCAACCGATTTTGATGAAACTTAAAATGGATGTTATTGGACCTAAATTGAAAGGTTTAAGAAAGTTTAGTTTACTGCCGATTAAATTTAAGGCTTTTTCAAAATTTAGGCCTCTTACGTCAGTTTTGAGGAGTTATCGTCCTTTAACCTCTATACAGTAAGTGCTTCTATGAACATCATTTGCTTGTAAACACTCTAAAAACTAGATTTTTTGATGGAATCAAATGAAATTCGGTATGTCTAGACATATTCATAAAATGAAGATCAAGTTCAAATTTGAGCTATTTTCGACTGTAAGAAGCAGAGTTATTGCCCTTGCCCCAAAACCTTTAATATTTTCCATCCGCATGCCGCGGTGGGCGTATATGGCTGTGGTCCACTATCTTTTATCAGGACTAGATGTTCTTTTGATGACGACTCCTAGATAGAGTATTAGATATAGTTGACCCTTAAAAACTTATTTAATTTGTGTTTTCAGATTGGTAAAGCCTTAGCCATAGCAGCATTAGATATGACCGATTCCAATCCCTGGTCTCGTATTGGTTCCTCAGAGCATTGTAGCCTGCAGGGGGTCAGGGAATCAGTCAGGAGATTTCTACGTAGTCTAAGAGGAGGACCTCGTGGTGGGAAAAACGGTTTGAGCAGGATTATGAATCGTATTGGGTGAGTTGTTGTCACTATATTTAATAATATTAAGTCATGCCTTGTTTTAATCACTTTACTAAGACTAAGAACAGTGTCTATTGTCTGAAGTCTTCGCATCAAAAAATCAGTATTATAAAAGACCATTTCTCAACCTTCAATTTAACTGTAATGATGCAATGAACATAATTAAGAAGAGTCTCCCTGACTATTTGATGCCCAAATTCCCCTCAAATATGACTCCAGGACCTCAGAGATATTTGGATCAAGGTTCTTAAGTAAATAGCACTATGGACCTGCACCTTATTTCGAATTCCGCCGCGCGCCATTTTGCATGCATCTATCGAGATAGGAAACAGGGAACAGGCAACAAACAGCCAGGGAGACTTTTCTTTAACACATAGCTAAATTACTTTCATCACATGTGGCTTAAAATGGTAATGAAATTTCTGTATATCGGTATTTAATTAATTATAGAAATACTAGCTCCAGTAATCAAAACAACAACAGACAGATCAACAAAGGAAACCCTTCCGAGTCGACTATTCAGTCACGCAGGAGGTTGTCATCAGATACTACTTTAGCGCCAGGCAATCCTGCAAGAAGAATGTCAACTGATATTACCACTGGCAGGAATATAACTAATTTCAAAACACAGAATAATACCAGGAAGGAACTAGCACCTGTTAAAGAATGTAAGTTGAAGACTAGCTGATGAAAAAATGTATTTTTGTCAGTTATCTTTTATGTTGGCTCAGTCAGATTCCTATTAAAAAGGTCGACTTTCTCCTTTTTTTCACATTTTGCACAGATCAGACAACTTATTGAGTCATTTGTAAACTCCTTGTTGAAAAATTAAGCCACAAAGCTTCTGGAAGAGTTGGCATGTAAATGAAACTAACACTGGTTATATCAGTATGATATTGTTTGAGGTGAAAGCTTAGCGGAAAACTTAATCAATTAATTTTTCTTTATAGCTTCAAGAGGGAATCAATCTAGACGTCCATTGTATAATCCATCCCATAATAGTGCAAAAACTGCCTCTACTGCGTCTGCTCCAGTATTAGCTATGACACGAGGTCATGTTGATGATGTCACATATCATAGACACATGTCAGCTGATGATAATATTCGTCGATCATCGGCAGAAAATTCGCAGCGTTTGAGGAACAATAGTTTGGTGAGATTTTCTTTTGATTTTTCATTATATAAAATTTCACCTCCAAAAGATTTAACCTTTCTTTTTTGTTGCAACATAAAAAAACATCTAATAAAACCAGAAACATTTCAATGAAAAGACAATGTCTCAAAATGTCATCATGAGAATAAATTCTACTTGTCCAACTTCAGTAGAATTACAACATGTTCATCAACTATTAACTAAAATTATTTGATGTTTCAGCTCAATATAGCCAGTAAGAAGCAAGGACCACCCACAAAACTGCCCTTACCCACAGGATCAGTTGGTGTTCATTTTCCTCCGAACGTGGACATGAATACATCAGGCCGATTTCTCAACAATAATGCTCAACCAAGACGACATGACTCTGGGTCACGGAGAACTCTGGAAGATACAATGTTTCATAATGATAGCACTCTCATGACAAGTGACAATAATTTGATGTCTGTACGATCTGGAGCTCCGTCCTCTGGGCATTCTGGGAAACGTATCGCTCAATCTTCTGGAAACTCTCTCAATCGTGTACCAATGTCTTCAGCTTTATCCACAACCAGTTCTGGTTTGAGAACAAATTCTGGAAACAGAATGGGTATGTCGTCAGGTAATTCTGTTACTAGGCAACCGATTAGATCAACTGGTGATGAAGATGCTATAAGTGCTGGGTAAGAAAATGTCTTCTCTTTCTATTTTTGAATTCAAATTTGGACATGTAGTAATATTGATAACATTTTGACATAACTGCCTCTGTCATTTACTTTCTGCTTGATGTGCGCTTCAGAAATGTCCTAATTTACTATGAGATTTACTCAGATACTTGTGAAGATTATGGTATATTTATGGTGACATTGGGTGAAAGGCTTACTTATTGCAAGTAATCACCTAGCAAACTGCAATCCAACTCATTAACGACTGAGCTATTCCACTGCCATAATTATAATGTAATGTCTGATTGGGTATTTCCTGAAAGTACTCTATGAAAACTGTACATAACCAATAGCTCACATTGTTAAATTCATTATTTATGTATCTTTTGTTATACAGAGAATCACCAAAGAGGAAAAAGAAATTCTCGTATTTAAAACGTAAACCTGGAGTACAGAGTCCTAAAGCTATGTATGTCCGCGGACAGGATTCATCTATATATAGTAACAAAGAAATAGACCAGAAAGCTAAACGAAGTCGGAGACGAAAATCTACACGTAAACTCTCCTTTTTATCTGATGATGAAGGTAAGAATAGTTGATGAAATATTTTTGATTTGTTTGATACTTATGAAATAACTATAATGTGATTGTGGTATCTTGTAAATTATTTGTTGTAATAACTATTTCTTGAAATATTTTCAACTAACATTAAGCTTGTATACAGTGAAATCTATGTATGGACCAGTAAAAATATGTCGGATACAAAGAAAAAAACCTTTTGAATCTGTTTAAATTTGATATTAACTGATCAATGTTTGTAAACTAGATATAACTCCACCGTCCAATAATACTGTTGCTGGGAATGCTGTTAACTTAACACCCAGGTAACTTTTGCTTTATAGAAATCATCTTATAGATATAAGCCTAGTTTTATTTTAATTTGTCATGTTTTATTGCTTACAACTTCATATGAAAAGCTAAAGAGATTCTTTGACTCAAAATAGTTTTACATTAGCTATTGACATAAACGAAGTATTTTAAATCATTATTTTATCATTCTCTTGGACTTTTTTTTTAGCTTTTTAAAAATGAATGAGATAGATTTATATTCAAATTTTAATAAAAGATAATAAAAATTCTTTATTGATTATTTTGATTAGACCTTAATAATAGTCATATTTTCTCAAATTATTTGAATTTATATTAGATAGTATAGATAGTTAAAAGGTTTTGGACTAATCATGGTATTTTTTCTGTTTTTTTCCGCTACGCTAGGATAATATCATTAACTATGGTAGGTGTAGGTTTAGAATTTGTTTGGAATAAATTTAGTCTGAAACTTGCTGAATCAGGTCCCTGATTTCTGCTGGCCACGAACCCTGATTGTTATCAGCAGTAGCATCAGGCTCTCGATTTTATAAGTTCCCAACCAGACAGTCATTTTAACTGATAAATTATACAATCTAGCACTTTACATAAAAAATGTCCTTAAGATCAAAACTGCAGTCAGTCATTTTGGAGCTCCAATCTGACCTGACTGGTTGTCATCTTTATTTTGAATATTTTTTGAAGACTTATATAAATTTCACAGGCGTTAGTTTCTCTAAAACATACGAAAGCCTGTTAAAAGCTGGGAAAGAGTCAACAAAGTTCAGACTAACATGAATCTATTTCTTAGTCCTACACTATATATAGACTTGTAGATACATTTTGAGATTAAATATATAGTGAAAATAAATAATATCTATAGTACATGTTAAATAATATATCAATTCAGTTATAGTACAAATGATTCTCTTTGTTTATATGAATACAATCTAAAACAAATAACATTTACATTGAAAAACAATGATTCAAGGAATTAACTTCTTATAAATCTTATGTTTCTTATTACTTTCTATATGGCTGTGTTTTATTTTAATAAGCTTAATACTTCTATTTTCAGTGGAGTGAGATTCTTTCCTTTTTGTACTTTACTTTTTTTCACTCAATTCCCTTTTTTTACTTTTTCTGCTTCATTGTTTAGCAATTGAATTATTTGTATTATTCGTTGTTATTTGAGTTACTGGTTTTTAATCAAAGGCAGGGCAGTTGATTTGAAAATATGCACCAGACAATTCATATATATCTATATTATATTTCATATGGTAAAATTTGATGATTTTCCACAAACACTCATTGAATGAATGAAAAGTATAATCAGACTTTGATATGTTGAATTTCCTTTTATAACGCCATGATGATAAATACATGAGTGAATTATCAAGTGTAATAAGTGTCTATACAAATATGATATAAATCTATTTTTAAATGAAGAATTTCTGTAAAATTGGTCCTTTATCATGAAAAATTAAGAGTATTATAGTCATTGCAGTTCAGTTCAAATTGTCATAAAGAGTTATCTATCTTCTATAATCTAATAATGGTCTGTTCTTTTCTTTTTTTATTTCAGACATATCATCAATTACAGCCAACAAGTCACATACCCTTCGCACCTCCCTCAAAAACACAAAACATCGACCATAAACCCTTATGTAAGTATCTTATAAAAGATGTTTTATATTTTGTCTGTTCACTTATTCACATGTCAAATGACTGCTAACATCTGTCAGAATCACAGAGAATCTCATTATTTTTATACGCCCACATCTCTCTGTGTGGACGTATATTGTCGGCACCCCTGTCCGTCGGTTAACATTTGCTTGTAAACGCTCTAAAAAGATAGATTTTTTGATGGAATCAAATGAAATTCGGTATGTGTATACATATTCATAAAACAAAGCTGAAGTTCGAATTTGAGCTATTTTCGACCGTTAGAAGCAAAGTTATTGCCCTTGCCCCAAAATCTTGAATATTTACCATCTGCATGCCGTGGTGGGCGTATATGTCTGTGGTCCACTATCTTTTTATTTAGTCAGCTGAAAATGTGCAATTGCCATCAGATGCTAATGATTACAAAGAATTGCTACTTGTCCATACTTGTTAGCTTTTGATAGATTTTATTCTTTGATTCAGCAGCAGATCACATATTAAAACTTTGACCATGGATTGATGTAATTATGAACATTTCTTATTTCTTCAGAAAAAATTACCCAGTTCCACTTATGATTTATCTATTTGGAGAAGACCAACTGTTACCAAGAAAAGTGTATTTTGGATAGATTTTTAGCTTGTTGTTTTTAGAACAATAGTGTCAGTTTACCAAATCATTGTACATTCACATAAATAGCTTTAAAAGTAAACTGCACATTTTGACCACAATATTATTTATCAAGGCCTAAAAACTCCAGATCAAACACATTGAAATTTCAATGATTTAAGGATTATCCAAGATTAGATCTGATTCTGGAACATGCTAGAGTTATATATCAAATATTAACTTATTGAAGCAAATGACAGAAAGTAACTATATATCGAATCTTATAAACCATATCCCAATATGAAGCTTTAATTAATAATTTTATAGATCTGATTTTATATAATACTCTTTATTTATTTAAAAACAATGTATTTTTGTTATATCAGTATTTTACTTGTCCATGTGATTTTAATGTATTTTATTTGTTACCATATCCCAATCCAAAGAAATATCCTAAAACTTGCTATAATTAAAAACTTAATACTGTTGAAAACTATTTCAATATTCTATACATATCATCATTCAAACATTAAAGAAAAACTACCTCTTAGAATAAACATAAAATTGAGATTTTCATAATTGGCCAATAAGAGTATATATATTTATGGACCTACACAACCCTCTGTAATCTGATAAATCCTTAAAACTAGTAATGATTGAAAAACGCTTAATAACATCGTTTTATAAAATCATCAGATTATATAGGTTAGCGTGAATAATTACTCTTATTAGCCAAGTTTTAGAATTTAAATGTTAGGTACATTATAAGAGGTAGCATCTCTTTAAATTATTTGAAAACTTGTTTTGTAGCACTCTGACAAGCAATGTTAAATTAAATTATTTTAGTTGAACCTGATCACTGCCGATTTTAAGGCAAACAGCAGAAATCTTAAATACCAGTCCTACCATTCAGCAACAGTTACACAAAACAAATGGTTTTAATTCATTGTTAAAAAGTAGTACAAATTTTTTTAATGAAATAATTTGTGAATATCAATTATATGCAAACAATTGTCAGTATTAATGCTGTAAAATCCAATGTAAAAGTATTATTAGTATTAAACTAGGATACCGGAGTTGAGTTGTTTTGTTACACCTCCATAGTGTGAACATATTGAGCCTGTCCACTTGACAGAATGTGAACACAATAAATGAGGCTAATGGGAAACAAAACTGAAGGGGTAAACTTTTTTAGGCAACATTTAACTCTGCCAATGTTTTGATAAGGTTCCTTTTTATTTCCATTTATATGCAATATCTTCGATTTCAAGCCATTTACAAACTGATACAAGAAAATATTTCTGAAGACACTGATGGACAGAAATAAAGTGTCTTGTTGGTCTAATAGACAGCACAAATTGGAGTGGGTAGAAAATAGCATACTTGCAATGAAGGATGAAATATTGATAACAAATGATGCAACTCAATAAATGTTCATGATGTCACATGATTTTCAAATCAGCCACCCACAGTTCTCCACATGGTTTGTTCTGGACGAACCTGCTGATTGTAGGAGTCCAGACAACCCCCTCTCATATGGTTTTGAACTATTTGCCTCCGATAAAGCTTTTTGGATAAGGCAACCACAGTCCCAACTCATGATAAAGGGTTGTTTTAATAACCAAAAAAAGTAAATGGTTTATACTGTTTTATTTGAACAGTCTATTTCAATAACAAATAATTGGCTAATTTCTTTCTAAGTTTACACATAATTTTGATGTAAGTTTTGAAACAAAGTTGAATATTGTAAGAATGGTGTAAACACAGTACTTGGATCTATGTCATGTGTAAAATGAGTCAATGGACTCTCAAAGTATTCTGCCAGCACTATTGAAATGTTGTGAATGTGATTTGATTTCTCAATGATGAACATAAAAACGTGAAACTAAATATACATGAAATCACAGAATTTGTCAAAGAGTATCATCGAAGACAGCAGCCTTTTGAATTTCCCTTTCCACCATTTTATTATTAAACTCAGGATGTTGCCATAGCTTCTTCCTTGGTCTCTGTTGGTGCATCCTTTGCCTGCAAAAAAACAAAATCACTTTAATAAGTTTGGTTTAATTTTTACTACTTTCTAATCAATACCTTAATTTGAGCTAATCAATAGAAATGCACATCCCAATGTGAGTACTGAAGCCTGCAAGAGCAAAGATACAGTACATCATAACCAAATGGAGAAAATCAATAAATTTAGTTCATTAAAGCATACGTGAACTTATGTTTGGAAATGATTGGACACAGAACACAAAACCATCCTGAATTTGCTATCACCTGCTGGTGTTCGAGAATGCATTTTACAAACACACTCACATCATACTTTTACAAAATGTGATATACCTTGTCCTCCTTGTGTTCTACACCGTTGGTTTTAGCATCACCACCACTAGTAATCTCCTGTTTAGCTTTTTTATTATCACTGTCAGCTTCAGCATCTTCTGATGGTTTTCTCTATAAACACATTGTATACATGTACATACAAATTCATACAATATATACTGAATATATATATATTGCAGGCATGATCAATTTTAGAATTGCAATAGAAAAGACTGACAAAATCTCTATATGACAATGAGCCTATGCCACTTACTGGACACAACTGCCACATCAGACGTTGAGAAGAGCCCACCTTATGTTGCCAAGACATGTTGAAAAAATCATTTCATCAGGACAGCAGGTTAAAAATTGGGGTTTCTACTATTCAGATACAAGATAATTAAGCAGAAAAAGACAATGCAAAGACACCAAACTGGCCTCTTTCCAACTTTCTACAGTGTTTCTGGGAAACGAGAATCAAATAGAATAGTCAGCCTTAGTAACTAAGTTATCTTAACTTCTTGAATTAACTTTTAGTTCAAAAATCCTACCTTTTTCCGAATCAAATGACTAATATCTGAGGCTTTCTTTTCTGGCTGAAAAACAAATAACAAATAACTGTAGAGATTAAATAAACGGAACTTACAGAAGTCTTATATCAAGTCTTAACTATATCTTAATTGACTGAAGGTATAATATTGCATGACAATGAGATTTAATCCTTCAAAGGCATATATAAGAGGAACAATTTCATGATAAAGAAATTAAATAGAAGTATTTATCAATAATTGTTTTATTGTTCTATCACTTAGCTTGTCTTGCTAATTTATTTTGACCCACCAAGACATCTTGGTGAAACCACTGCAATTATATGTACCTCATTTGCTGATACAGTTTTTGCTGAACCAAAATCTGCTTCTTCACCTAACTGGAAAATACAAGAGTAAGGAGATTATTTTACTGAAAAGACAAGCTATGACTCGAGTTCGGCAATACTCTTAGTGTATTCACCCAGCCTTAACTTTTGAAATCTATTTCTTGACAAATCAAGGATTTTAGATGCCCAAAAGCAAGCATGACTCAAAACAAATTACTAAAGAAACTTTGATAGATGGCTTGGTCATTAAGCCTTAATCAATGCTGATCATGTGAAAATAGTCAGTGGATAATATTTTTGTTTGTAAAAAAAGTGCCTTTAAATAGAGATTTGTATTGTATTGTGTTTGTTGATAAATATTTCATAACTTACCATTTTTCCACCTAAAGCTTCTTTTGTCAAATCTTTTAACTGGTCTATACTCTTCTGGTCTTCTACTGTGTCTTCTATCTGTAATAAGTTGTTCATGTAATCCATAAGTCATAATATGAATCTAGGTGTATTTCCCTATCAAATTTCTATCAGTCTTACATATCTTAACTTTGGATAATTTCTCACTGGACCAGTAGTACCGTATATTTCCGAATATAATGTGCAAGCATGTATAATGCGCACCCCTTCCTTACCCATCGAAATCTGGAAAAATGCGCACCAATGTTGACAAAATTTTTTTACAAGAGAAGATTGTTAATATAACATGTTATCCAGTTAATATCATAATATCAATTCAGTCTATTTCCCTACCATCATAGCGTTTTTACAACTCTCCTTTGTTTTAGATTACTAAGTGAAAGATAGCCCAATCTGATAATGACCATCTACATGCCTTTCATATATAAAATAAGCAAACAATTTTGACCCAGCCTAATTTTTGAACAGCAACCTGGCTCAGAACTTACTTTGGCTCGGATGTCTGGTAAAATTTCTTTTAAATCTTTTATTTCCTGTTCTGCCTGTTTGATAGGATCTTCAAAACCTTCGCTTTCTACAACATAATCACAAACAATGGGAAAATGGGAAAATGGAAATATGGAGAATATCATCTACGGTTCTTTTGTTAATATTCAAATTATGCTAATCTTTCTACACACTAATGAGCTTGTGAGTCATAATAAATCTCAAATCTGTTGAGAAGTCCTTCAGTTTTATACTGAGTTCTAAATGAATGAATGAATGATTGGAGTTTTACGTCTTACTTTTCTGCACCATGTGGGCTTATGAAGACATGCAATGCCGTGCAGGGTGTGATGAGGTAAATTTTGCCAGGTTGAAAATCCGAAGGTATTATCTCGACCTTTGCCGGGATTGAACCCTGGACCTTCAGGTTAGCAAGCAAGCATCTTAACTCACTGAGCCTCCAAGGCTCCCTAGTTCTCAATGAAGAGACTAGGTTTTCTTTGAAGTGATTCACAAGGATCTTAAACAGATTTAAGGTCACAAAATGCTTTTTCAAGTAAGTCTGGACAATCTGTATCTACATTAATGAGGAACTTGAATAGGTCAATGTACAGTTCCCGTTATATAATTTCATAATACAAATAAACATACCTCCCTCTTTCTTCTCTTTGGGTCCTTCTTTAATAAAATCTTCTAATTTACCTAGAATATCACAAACATGATGAATTTCATCAATTTTTGGTGTTTTCACTGTTTTAACAAACTGCAATAGCTTTTTAATTATTATTCAAACAATTTTTTAATTTTAGTAGTTTTTAACCAGAATTTATATTAATATTTTTTTTTAATCATCTATTTTTTTTTTAACACTGTTGTGTAAAGCGTAATCGAACACTGATGTGGAATTTGCGCGATAAATCAAACTATTACTACTACTATCGTATTTCTAATATCATGTACCGGTACATTATGAAGTTTTTTAGATTTCAGTGACAATGCAAGATTGACTTTTGGTATATCTTCAGTGTGGTATTCAAGGGGTGAAAGTGTAAAAATAGGTCAAAATGTAACTATTCCTTACAACTTGATCACATAAAATCTTACCTATTTTACTTTCTATAGTTTTAATAGCTGCTCTGTAGTGATCTATAGATTGTTCAAACTGTTTCATAAAACCATATGCTAACCCTAGTTGATAATGACTGAAATACAACAATATATAGCAATTAACATATAGCAATAAGGTATGATATTTGATCTTATTGGACTCTAGTTTCCTTCCATTCATTGTGAACACTGTCTTCTTATTGTTAAGTGAACAATATTCACTTTTACTCACATTTAAAATCCACAAATCCATAAATTTATTTACTATAATCATTAGAAATGAAATACCAGATTCTTGCTAGACATCTAATGCCTATTAAACTGCTATAAGGCACAAAGAAATAATAATCTACCTTTCTGCTAGTAATCTGTCTTCTGGTTCTAGATGTTTTTCTTGTAATTTTAAACAATCTTTAAAATCTGCTATAGCCTGGTCATATTGCTCAGTTTCTAGACTCACTTCACCTAGTTTTAAATGGGCTTCAGCTGCTCGTAATTGTGCTTCTTTGGTTTCATCTCTGAAAAATGATATCAATGTAGGTTAAGAGCTTATTGAACAAAAAATCTCGATTTCAATTGTGGCCAATAAGAGTACCTATATATTATTCAGTGGACTTACCTAGTGTCATAACCTAACAAAATCCTAGGATAATCTGATAAATCCATAAAACTAAGAAGGCCTTATTATTCAAAAGCGCTTAAAATTCAATGTTCATTCTAAGATGTAGAATACTTTTTATTGACAAGCGCTCATCAAATCAAGACTAAGAAATATTGCGGTCATTAAAATATATATCTCTTTGTGTATCAAGTTTTTGAGCTTGGATACTTACTTTAAATAAATCATTTTCGCCAATTCTAACATTTCCCAAGCTAACTGTAAATTAGATACATCATCTGGATCTTCCTAAAAAAAGAAATCCAAAATGACATGGTATTATATGAAGAATTTATTAAAGCAATCAAAGCCATGCAATGAGCAAAGTAAATGATACTAGAGCAGACTACAGTTCACAAAAACAGCTATTTCCATCCTAGACGGCCCAGCACATGGCAAGATATCTAAAAAAAAAAACGTTGTTTCCAAACCACAAAAGCAAAGCATGTGAAATCCCAAAATGAAAAAAATTATTTGCCAGCTTGTCCAGCAAAATGGCTGAATATTTAAATCATTAACTGACATCTGTTTTGGCTTCTCCATCTTCTTCCTCTTCCTCTGCTTCATCATCTTCCTCACCCTCTTCGCATTCTTCTTCATCTTCCCCCTCTTCTCCTTCTCCTTCCTTACTCTCACCCGTATCTGCAATTAAAAATCAAACCGTCAAAAATGGTTAGGCATAGAAAATCATTATTTAATTATCATTTTCTATAAAGTGTCAAGACAAAATGTAGAACAGATGGCATTTCTTTCAAAAATTAGTTTTCTTTTGATTTTTGAGAACCTAGGCACACAGGGCTTTGTTGTGTCAACCAAAGAGAGTACATTTGACATATCAGTGTAGTTTCTCATATGAAGTCAGGACTGTAATCTGAAAGCTCAAATACCAAGCAAAGTATCTATTCGGTAGTGATGTCATCCTTCAGATGACATTGATATCAAAACAAAGAACAAAACTGAACAGTAACAAAAACAATCAACTAGAACTGAACATCAAACAAAACAATATATTTTAGCTCAATATAAATTGTGAAAAAAGAAAATGGTTTGTCCCTTTAAATCTCTGAAAATAAAACGTGCAAAGTGGCAAGTAAAACTTCATGCAGTTAGACAATTCATTGAAAGAATTCAATAATTCAAAGAAAACCTGGATCTTTCTCTGCCATTTCAACATCTGCGTTCTCTTCTTTGGGTTTCTCATCACCTTTTTCTTCCTTTTTTTCGGCATCTTTAGAATCAGCTTCAGGCTTTACTTCTGGTTTTGCTTCTTCAGATTTCTTCTCTTTGCCATCTTCCTTTTTCTCTTCTGGCTTTTCTTGATTTTCTGTTGTATCCATACCTTCTTCAGTCTTTTCGGTTTTGTCTTCTGCCTTTTTCGCTTCTTTATAAGATTTTTCTTTTACAATTTCCTCTTCAGTCTTCTCAGATTTTTCTTCAGTCTTTTCTGCTTCTTTTTCAACCTTTTTTTCTTCTGGCTTTTCAGATTTTTCTTTTGGTTTTTCAGATTTTTCTTCTGGTTTTTCAGATTTTTCTTCTGGTTTTTCAGTTTTTTCTTCAGACTTTGTTCCTTCTTTATCTGTTTCCTTTGATTCCTCAGTTGCTTTATCATTTGGTTTTTCATCATTCTTTGACTTCTCTTTATCAGCTTCAGAAGGTTTTGCTTCATCTACATCCATTGAACTTTCTTCTTTTGGTTTCTCTGCCTCATCTTTTTTGTCATCTTTTGTCTTCTCATCCTTAATTTCATCTTTTTTCTCTGCTTTTTCATCTTTCTTGGCCTCTTTTTCATCTTTCTTGGCCTCTTTTTCATCTTTCTTGGCCTCTTTTTCATCTTTCTTACCCTCCTTTTCCTCTGCCATAGCATCATATACCTCCTCTCGTAGTTTTTCACGCTCTTCACCTGTTTACACATTTAATAAATTGGCAATTGGATTTGTAGCACTTACGATTACACTCTTTACAGTAATGTTAACTATTCTTTATCAAGGATTTAGTCTTCATTTGAAGATCACTGAGGAGACAACATATCTCTTGAACCTAACAATATTTTGAATTCCATTCTCAGAAATGAAAACAATAGATCCAAAATGTCTAATGAACAGAATTGAATTTCAGCACATATCTCCTTTATAACATTAACATTCAAGGGACAAAACACAACATTTAACGAAAAAGTCGAGAATACAAAAAAATGAACATCTTACCTGGAAGTTTATTAGCGTTTTCAAATTGTTGATCTTTTTCTTCTTTCTCTTCATCAGCTGTTTCTTCATCTTCAACATCAACTGAAAATTACAAATTTTATATAATCAGTTACCAACATAATATTCATTATATACCTGATGACGGTGTGAGAACCACATTGAAACGTTGAAGTAATAAATATTCTAGAAGTATATATCCATAAATTGTCTTATTTAACATAATATTCATTGTCTTACACTCCTTTTATTGTTCTGTCAAATTTTATCCAGACTGGAAAGTCAAAACTGTTGACCTAATGAGGTTTATATTCATGCAATTTTGTACATATTACAAACATCCTGGAAAAAGCCACGGAAAGGATAAGTTTTCTGTTAAGTTTCACGCCATTCCTCAAAAATTCTATTTTACTAAATGGTTGCATATGTGAAACTGTTATTAATATAAGTTTGATATCTGATGTCCATCTTAACAACATTTGATAAATTGTCAATTACCTCCTTGTAATGCATTGCCTAATACTCCAGTTTCCATTCTTGCTAAATCTAATAATGATCGTCCATAGCAAAAATATGCTTCAGCACATTCCTTTGCCATCTCGCCATAATTTTTAGATCTAAATTACCAAATCATATAGTTAAATTTTCAGAATTAATTGTTCCTGAAAGTAATGTCAATTGTCACTAGCAACTGGAACATCCATCAAATGTGAATAAAGCGAGCCTCTTAATTACTGTGCAGAAATGTCAGTATTTCGACTTAATAGCTCATTGAAATCAGTAGTTCAAAATTGTACATATCTGCTAGAGATCAATCTTGTGTTGAAATAAAAAAATATTTGACTTCAAAACAATCTGATAAGTTTCAATTGTAAAATTTACATTTATATAGACAGCTTCCACGTTTTGTCAGAATTCAATCATAAATTGATAAATAACCCTTACAAGAGTTGACAAGCATCTTGAAACTGATTGACAGCTGCCGGAATTTCACCACAAATCAGATTTCTTTTTCCTTGTGCCATCAGATTAACTGCTGTTGTTGTATCCTTGGCCCTTAAAGAGACAATAATTCACTACATTCAAGCGAGAGGGTGTTCAGTCAAATTGTTTACAGTTAACAAAGTGAGTTAACTTGCCTACAAACTAAAATATGACTTGTCTAAAAAACAAAAAGACTACTTGCCTACAAAGAAATTATCGTAATAAAGATGTTGTTGGTTTGAATTAAAATTCTAATCGAATGTTGATTACTGAAGGCTAGATTTACCAAGAAAGAATCATACCCACGCTATAATAGAGTCACGACTGTCATTTTTAATTGGAAGGTTTTAAGTTGAAAGACAAGACAAAACTATGTTTTAAGTTTACTGTTAGTAGAAAAGTTGTAATATGATGAATATAAAGAAAGTATTTCTTGTACCAGTCAACAAATAGGGTTTACGATCATTTCAATTTTGTAGACGAGTTGACTTGATGAGTTCTCTCACAAAATTTTCTCAACGAATTGACTGGTAGGTATTCAGCAAGAGCATCCCTCACCGGAATCGTAAGTTATTGGTTATAAGTTGGATGATACTAATTGCCATTTAACTTTTTACAGTAATATCAATTATAGGGACAAAAATAGGTATTAAATCAAAACAATTAATCAGTGATAAAAAATATACATTCAACAAACGGTCTGGAAGACAAAGGCTACTTTGTTTTGATCCTAATCTACTCAGACATTTTCATTTAGTTTTCTAAAAAGAAAGACGAAAAACCGCGCTGTCAATTAAAATTTGGATGATACCTTTCTTCTGGGGTAGGTTCAGCAGTGCTAGAGCTTGCGGCATTTTCAGTAGCCATGTCAGCCAGAGTATTTTTCATAGCAAATAACAGATCTGACGATTCACCACCGACAGCATGAAAAGTTCGCGCCTTCTTGTGCACCTCTTTCCCGCAGTAATCTCAAAACCCAATTTCACAAGGAGAAAATTATTTTTTTATTTGGTTATTACAATAATTTAGACCAATCTAGTTTAAGAAAACAAAAACTGTAAAAAAAATTTAAGTTGTCAAACATAATTCGTGACGGAGAAATTATCTAATGGTTTATTTTTTCCATTGACATTTTGCTTAGAGACTAATTTCTAAGGTGCACAAGAAACAATGACGTCATGATTCCTTTCTAGACGGCCATTAGAGAACCTCGTGGGTCTGTTTATTACAACTTATAAATAAGGTATATCCCCTTTGTTTATTATCCTATTGTTACCTAATTAGGCCCGAGGCTGTTTAAGCGCAAAGGGCTTGAATCTGTGTCGCCTTGATCCCATGTAGCCCTGAAATTCTAACGTTATGAACTCTTATTTCAGAAACAAAATCATACGCACATTTCGACTCATCCAATCTTTGACAATTAGGCTTAGCACATAAGACTATCACAACTTGATCCTCTTTTGTCTTTTTACTTGATTAATTCATGTGGGTCTGATACTGATGACAAATGAAGAATTGGTTTGTCTGAACTACTTTTTTTAACATCCTTGATTCTTTGTTCAGATTTATTTGGTTGATCTTGTTTGTGCATGCTCCTCCTAAAGCCTTAGTCTTGAGTTTGAAAGGATAACAAATAGGTACAACTGTTTACTGGTATGGAATAATTAATACAATTGCATGTGATTGTGAATAAAATTCATGTATTATAATTATAAAATAGTAAGAAGCTATTATTACCAGTACTTCACATGTGCCATGCCACAGCTTCCCCCCTTTATCATTTATATGGTGACCTGATCTTAGTGATTTCTATCCCAATTGCAAGTGGGTCCCATCAATAACTCGTCATTGAAAACCTTTGATTAAGACTTAATGGTGTCATTAAGATAAATCCAATTAATTCAATTCTTGTTTTAGATTTAAAGATATAAGTTGAAAAAATGAATCCTGAAAAATTAAAGTTATTACAAAATAAAGCTGAACAAGTTCGTATTGGAGGCAAGGTAAATATATGTAATTGATTTTGAGAACAAAGAGAGATTATGGATTGATGCAGTTCTACCTTATTGGTTATTGAATAGACATGTTGTAAATGAATATGTTATCATTAGCTAATAATTGTTGAAATAAGGACACTGAGTAGTAAAATAACCTAAACAGGATCTTAATATTGATGAATATTTGCCATATAACTGATGTTCTTATGTTGTGTTATTTTCACTTTCTTTCTGAGATAAACGAATCTAATTAATGTTATATTTTTGTTCAGGGTAGTGCCAGACGAAAGCGAAAAGTTCAACATAGAACTACCATCACAGATGATAAAAAATTACAGAGTTCCCTGAAAAGACTGGGTGTTAATTCCATACCTGGCATCGAAGAGGTAAACAATCAACTCTTGTTGTTAAGTTTTAACAATAGCTCTTGATATCGACCGTAAAAATACATGCACTTCTCTCAAAGTGGGCAGTTATATCAGTTAAATTACTTCTGAAACTGATTTTTGAAACAGTCAGCTTCTCTGAAATATATCCTACATACAATATTCTGACATGAATAGGAAAAAATATTTTTAAGAAATTTTTTATCTCTGGTATTGCTGATTTGACTTGAATAATCTAGTCTTGATTTTGAACTAATGATCAGATAGTATTAATGTTAATGTTTTACAGGTTAATATGATCAAAGAAGATGGTCAAGTAATCCATTTTAATAATCCAAAAGTTCAAGCATCATTAGCTGCCAACACCTTCGCAGTCACTGGACATGCTGAAATGAAACGTAAGTTGGATTCTTTCAGTGGCAATATGCAATTCTTGTCTTTTAGTGAATATTAAAGTTGTCTTCCTAAAATGCAAAATTAAACGATATTTTTGTCAAGGGAAACTAAATACAATCTGAACCAATTAAAAGACAGATTTTTTGATGTTTGATAATGAAATTTATTCAGCCTTTCTTTACTAATTTGAATCAGCATAATAACTAACAAATTTACAGAATCAATGAGTCTGAAGATGGAGTTAGAGATGGGCTCCCTTAATTTCATATATGAAAATGCTAATATTTATATGAAAAGAAAGAAGAGGTGTTCTAATGACTTGGATAAATACCAGTTTGTCTCACAAGTCCATAATTAATTCATAATTAGCTAAATTAGAGGAGAATTACAATCAGAATTCCAATGAGTGATGGATTAAAAAAGGTCAAAAAGTCATGGACATTTGTGATTGGTTAAATCTCTTAATTAAATGCGTTAAGAACGTAATGATTTGATTAAGAATACCTGATAATTCATTAGAAACAACAATGAATCAAAAGGGGTGCTTAATTTGACACTAATATGCCATAGAATGCTATTTTGATGCTTTAGGACTATTGATACATATTAAGTATTTTAAAATAAAGTTGTCAACTATTATATCAATTTCCTTTTAGAAATCGCCGATATGTTACCTGGTATATTAAACCAATTAGGAGCTGAGAGTTTGAGTAGTTTAAAAAAATTAGCATCAACAGTTGCAGGTATGATATAGACATTACTTTATCTCTTAATTCATTTGGGAACTACATTAGTGTGATATTTTAAAAATTGCTTCACAAAGGTCCAGTAAGTGAAAACTGTCTGGTAGATTGTAAAGTGCAGAACTCCAGTTTTCAACTTATGCACTCCTAATATTTGCACATTTCACTAGAATAATAAATCGGAATAGTGTTCTTGTTCATGGTAGATTAGATCCCCTTTCATTAACTCCCTGAAACAATCGCTTTGCATTTCTGAATTACTTATCTTGTAAATCTTTCCAGAAGTAGGTAATTTCCTATAAAATTGATGTATTCCAATGCTGAAATCCACAGTCCCTACTTGTGACCTAGTCCAGTGCTTCTATAAGAGAGTATCTCTTATAAAACCTTATACTAGAATCAATTATCAATCAATTATGATTTGCTTATTTTTCATCAATACATGTAGCAATTTTACTCCCCAGAGATGCTGACAGATAACCCAAGGTTCATGTTATAATTAAATTTTATATGATTTCAGGAGATACCAAGGGAACAAGTGGGGATGTTGATGATGACGATGATGTACCTGGTAAGTTGATAAAATTTCTCACACATGGGTAGAAGAACAGATGGGGAAATTCCGTAAGCAGGCCTGTAACAACAGGGGGGGCAAGGCAACCCTAAAAAAAATGGATTGCCCCCCTTTAAAAATTCCATCAGCCGACCAGTTCTATTACTGCAAGTAAACACCATTGCCCCTCCAAACAGTCAAGTCTGGCTATGTGCCTGTAATTAAGTCAAAAAAACTAGTGACAACTTACTTGGTCATTTGAAAATGTGAGGGACTTCATCTATGAAATATAGTTTTAAATGCCTTAAACCTTACTCTTATTGTTAACTCTGAGTGGGAGTCATAAAATTTAGTGGAAGAACATAATTTCACTGTTTGTCTCTCTTGTGACATAGTCCTGAGAAAAAATATTAAGAAATTTCAAAGAAAATTCCTTCAATCTATATCTTGTGTCCTATAATAAAGAGTTATACTGTTCTTTTTCAGATTTGATCGAGAATTTTGATGAAGCCTCGAAAGGAGAAGGGGATTAGATTTGTGCGAATCTATAATCATGCATATTTTTTATTTTACAATTATCTATTGCGCGTGATCCTCTGTACAAACTGTTCAATTCAGCATGTAATGGGAATCTTCTGCCTGTTTTATTGGAAGTAATGAGTTATCTTTCCATGTATACTGCCATCAGCCCTTAAACATGTTGAAATTTTTAGTTCAGCTTCTTTTGGTAAGAACTTATCATTGATGGTTAAAATTTGAAATACACACAGAAAGAAACAAATTTTAGTTTTCTTATTATCAAGTACCTGCTAAAAATTATTTATCATTATCTGAATGTATTTCAAATTCTCATTATTAAAAATGTAATAAAAATTGAAGTATAAAACTGTATTTATTTTAATTGGGCATGCTTATTTGACTGTTTTTAAGACAAATTTGATTTGGAAATCAAAACAGGGCATTATAATGATACCACAGTTAAGCGTTGAATAAAAAATGGTGTTTCTTATAGCATGGAAAATGCATAGAAGTATTGAAGCAAATGTCATGTCATTGTTCTTTCAATTACAAAATTTATTGGTCACTTTTAAAAAGACCAATGAGTCTTAAGTGTGCATTGATATGAATTGTGATGCCAAAACATATTGAATTGGAAATTCTAAGCCAACACAGCAAATGCCACTTGGTCCACGGTAAAGAAGCACAATTCTTAAGAGTCACATAATTTGAGCATTAATTCAATAACAAATCAGAAGCACATTATCAATCGTAATCTTCACTATATAGATCTTCTGAATCAAATTTAATTTCTTCTAATAGTTCGTTGATATTCTCCATTACTTCTTGTATACTGTAATTAAACATATCAGACATAAATTACACTTTACATCTCAATAATTAACAAATTAGCAAGCTTACTATATACAGCATTTGGTAGTTCTATTTGGAAATGTTTTCTAAAGACTATGAAATTGGTCAATTCTTAATTGAACAAAAGTTTGGATATCTTTTCATCAAGTAACTATTAGTAAGCTAAAACACTATTCTATTGGAATGAAACTAATATAAAAAAAAAAGGAAAAAAACCTTTTTCTAGCATCTGTTATTTCTATCTGAAATTTCTCATCGTCTGGATGATCCTTACTATGTTGTCTTGACAACTGTAAACTAGCAGTCTGGAAAAAATATTAAAATCAAATATGGTCTACATATGTATAGAAATAAACAAAAGATAGCTATCTTTCCTGACCTACAACTGAAATGCTCTTCATACATTTTATCATAATATTTCACACTTTACTAATCTTAATAGCATTTCAATGAATTAATGATGGATGCTTTCAATACATTATTATAAAGATCTAAACACAAGCAGGACATTATATTTTTTTTTTCAATAAAGTAAGCATTTTAATATGTAATATATATTAATTGTCTTAATCTACATATAAGAATACCATGATAATGCATTTATCTCTAACACAGTTGATCTTGCAATCTTAATAATAAAAGAGTGGCATCGGGTGTCGAGTGATACACATGACCTGTAAGTAATAATACCAAGGTATTGGGTCTTCAAAACTTACCAAATCCAATTTCTTCTTTTCTTCCTCTTGTAGTTTTTCCATATTATTTGCTATTTGTGTTAAATTATGGTCGTTACACATAGAGTTTTTAATGTCCAATATTTCTAGGGATATATTTTGAAATGTTTGTGTTATTTCATGAACTAATTGACGATATAGTGGAAAATTCAACAATGGAGCACTTTCTAAATATGCCTTGAAACCTCTGAAAAATAAATTTTTTCTATGAAACTTTCTTACATGCTTCATAAATCATATTTTATCATTTTATCTGGAATCAGACATTACTGGCAAATGTAGTAAAATATTCATACTTAAAGAAATCATTTTTAATAATCTTATTCCTGATATGCCTATTTAAGCTTATCACTTTAGTACATTCTTTAAAATGCAATCTTCACACTACAATTAAGTACTCTACCACGAAGAAAAATCAGATAAGTAAAGTGAGTATTAGGGGGTGAGATCTGACTCTCAGAAGCACTGGCACAAGAATTAGAATTTTCTTGCCTTGATAAGGATTGGAACCCACAGCTCCTAATCACCTAGCATTGCTAGGCTAGCAAACTACAATCCAACTGGCTAATGACTCAGCTATTCCATTGCTACAAAAAGACCATGTCAGTAGGAAAATTTATTAGTAAATGACCTCTAGGAAAACTTACTCTTCGAACAATTTATATGTTTGGACCCTTTCTTCTTGTAATGAGTAAAATCTTTTGAGTAGAGTTTTGGGGTCTTTTACATTATCATTCACATTACTGTCTGAATCAACCTCCATCTTTCAATCTATCTGAAATAAATAATGAAATTATTGTTAACTACACCAGAGCCTTGGTTAACACTGAGTAAAATTTCTTTTTTTCAGGGGAACACTTGAAGAAACCCTCGACTCAAACAACAGGTATCTGATTCTGGTCGAAAAAATTAAATATAATCAGATATTGTTTTAATTGTGACAATTAAATCTTATTTCTATCGACTTGAGTCATGTGCTTGTGCAAACGACAGATTTAGCCTTAAGATAAAACTTCAAAAATTTCACAATTTAATTGCAGACTTACAGTTTTTATAAAGCAAGTGAATGTCAAGTAGACAAGAGTCAACAGAAATGTTCACTAGAAGATCTACTATGAATTGTAACAAAGTTGATCTATATCTATTTCACTGACTTAAACCAACTGGCAATACGGATATTTGTAGGTTTATTTGTATATTTGAAAAAATTCCTCACAATTTCTTTTTCGGGAATGACAAGCAATATTTGTGAAATCTAAAATTTAGTAACACTGTAATTTTTGACACGAAACTTTATAATTTTCTAAACTAATGTCAACTTTCGTCTATGTTTTGAGAATAATAGAATGGTTTGAGCTAAATATTAAATAAATGTTATTCTGATTGAAATATCTTACAATCATTTAAAAGTAATCAAATTTTTAAGATAGTATTCGCATCGGTATATCTGATTTCAAGGTCTGAATTTGTTCAAAACCAAGATGTCTGCGCCCTTGAATCTTTGTGAAAATTGTAAACAAAACCTTTTTTATCACAATTTCTTCACTATTTTATGACTTACGGATCAACAGTCCCAACTTTGAGTAGATGAATATGGGAGATGTAAATGTCACCTCTAAAACTGAGCATGAACGATTTGTGTCGGGCCATTCTGGAACATCTCAACTTGAAATTGCATTGCAACTTTCAGTTCCTGTTGCAGCAGTCCTTCTCAGAGATGCCTTGTTTATGTTTTTAACATTGAATCATTGGAAACCTCCATTATGGTAAGTGTAGGCTATGAGTACGGTGTTAAGCTAAATCTTCTGGCTAGATTTTTTTTTTACTCATCACACCTTTCCTTCTGTGACTGAGTACGCCTAAAGTTGCTAAAGTGACTAAAAAAGTAACAGTAATTGCAACAATAATAATAATGGTTTATTCAAGGTCATGACATTGTCATAAGACTAAGAATATGAGTGGACCTGTTCCAAAAGAAAACTTACTGATGCAAACATATAACTTTAAGTTTAAGCTTTTTTTTTTTTGAAAAAAAATGATAAATGATTGCTATTTTTTTTTCAGGATTAGGTTTGGTATTGACTATATGCTAGCAGTCTTTCCATTGTTATTGATGGCTACATTACTCAATGAATTCAGTGTAAAATGTTTAATGACTTTACTTTGTGGTGGACTTCTACTGATAGGGATGATCATGGTGTCAAAGAAGAAAACAGCTAAAAAGAAACAAATATCATGGCTGGACATCAACATGTCTGGGAAAAGACTGTTTATTGACTATTATCGAGCCTTTATCAATGTAGGTACAGCAGTAGTGATATTAGCAGTAGACTTCCAGATATTTCCAAGAAGATTTGCCAAGACTGAAACTTACGGTACTGGGTTAATGGACAGTGGAGTTGGTTGTTTTGTTATGGCCAATGCTATAGTGTCACCTGAAGCCAGAGGAAAGCATCAAGGAGACAGGTAAGGTATTTCATATTTGCATTTAAGGGACAGGTAGGCTATTTTTTTGACCAATCATACCTTAGTCTCAGAAACTGGAATTTTTAGCTGAGCTAATCAGTAATAGTGTTCACAGCTCACTGTGATATATATAGAATAGTGAGTAAAATTCCTAGTTTGAAGTATTCTTTTGGAATTATGTATTTTCTGTACATTTCTAGTACTTCTGAAGACTATTTACAAATATTCAAGACTGGAATCAACCTCCCAAATTGGCACACCTGTCCCTTTAAGGCAGTAGGTCTGAGAAAATCCATTCATAAAACTACTTATTTTGCATCCAAAAAAGTAAAACATTATGAGATCTCCTTATACTTCTACTGTCATTGGCCCAGTATTTGCTCACCTGTCCTCAAGAGCATGTGATGCAATCTTAGGGTCTTCATTTTTTTCATTCTGTGCCTCCAATAAACTGATGTTTCCCCAATCTAAATCATAACATGTTATCTCTGTTACAGATCAATAGCAGGAAGATGTAAAATGATCCTTAATTCGATCAAGTCCTGTCTACCTCTAGTTCTACTAGGACTAGTCAGAGTGGTTTCAGTTAAAAATTTAGACTACCATGAACATGTCACTGAATATGGTGTCCATTGGAATTTCTTTATTACATTAGCAGCTGTAAAGGTAAATATTTTAGTATTTTCTTGTCTTAACTTTACTTACATCATTGGTGTTAACTGCTAAATGTTATTATCATGTTATCATTGAAAGTTTTCTAAAGGATTGAATATTCTAGATACCCTTTTACCAGACATATTGTTGATGACAGATCATATCATATTGATGTAATTTTAGACAATCTACTAAAAGTGAAGACAGTGGGATGGCTCAGAGTCAGTCTGAGATCAGTTGCTCGCTGCATGACAAAATCTCACATGCCAACTGATGCCATAGCCAGCAGTCATCTCAGGTTTTCGTCTTTCTTTTACAGATATTCTCAACAGTATTATTCACAGTATTTCCAGTCAGTTTTAGTGGAATAGTCAGTATTATAATAGCAGTGTTGTACCAATATGTCTTGTCCTATAGAGGTCTGTCTGACTATATCAGGAATGGAAGAAATGGTCAAGATGTTAGAACTGACTTGATAGATGCTAATAGAGAGGGAATTTATTCTTCTATTGGTTATATTGCTATCTATATGGCTGGCGTGCAATTAGGAACTTTTATTTTCCAAAAAAGGTAGGCCTTGCCTTTATATAATGATATGATATATATTTTTTTGACGTTATTGTTCAGTAAAAAGGGTTGTAAAGAGGTTTTTTTTATGTGTGTATCTCTTTAATGTGTAATTAAGGACAAGGTAACATACACCAGCTGGCAGGTAACTCCATTACAGACTATAGTATTTCAGAAGTTATTGATTGGTTCGATCTCATCAAAATTTGATTCCTACTCATCATGCCTGTTAGACACTTCAAACTAAGTCCCATGCTGTAAGTGATAAATATAAAACAATTGTCAGATCATCAATCTTCCAAAGTTTATAGTGATTTAAATGTATGAAACAATAATTCTATGTTTCTGTCAACTAAACCTAGTGTTAGATGGTGATGAGAACATAGTCTCATGAAAGCACTGGCCTAGGTCACAAGTAAAAATTTATGATAAAACAAGGTACAAGTTAAAGGTTAAGATAATTAGATATGTTAACTTTGGATGTCTCTGTAATACTATCTGTGGTAGTATCATTTCTCTAGCTGAAATAGCTGAAAATATAAGAGTCAATATTCTTCTGATATATCAATAAACCTAGTGTTATTAATTTTTTCTAATAGACTCTACTTTGTTTTTTGTAGAGAAAGACTATATGATTGGTGTAAAGTATTAGGTTATATTGTAGTAATATGTATAATATCTAATGGTCTCCTGTATCTAGTTCAGCCACATGTAGAACCTATATCACGCAGATTGTGTAATGCTGCCTATATATTATGGATGGTGAGTAACCAGGAACTTTAGTGTAGTGATTAGAATGAAAATTTAAGTAATTTGTTACAATCTGATCCTAATGGTCCATACTTACATTTGTAGTGACGAGATTTGTTCTTATGCTGTATAGTCCATTTGCAGATTTTGTACTGATTTTTCAAAATGTGAGATAATAAATTTGAAACTCAACTCTTCTGAGAGTTAAGCAATACTGTATTTAAGCACTTATTTTATCATATATTGAATATCTTCATATGTAAAGCAAAAAAGACCTGATAGGTACAAGTGAGTTTTTTTGTAAATTTCAGATCAAGTTTATTATAGATTATTAGTTAGTAAATTGTAAGTAAAAATCTAAAATTGTAATTTCAGGTTAACTTAAATCATATATTGTTAGCGGGCTATTTAATAGTTGATATGGTTTTAACAGTAGTTAGACACTGGTGTAAAGGTATGTAGTGTAGATAACTTACAATTCTTGTAATGCTTTACAGGATAGTTGTCTAAATAATTACTTGATCTAGATGAGGACACAATATCAGTCATCAGCCACTAAGTAAAGAATGAAAATTTGTCTTTTATACATTTATACAGGTATACAGGTATACATTTTATGTGAATATAACAAATGATCTCATAAAAATCATCAAAGCAGATTGGTTCATTTCCAACCTATTATATTATAAGTTTGTAGCAGGTGAGACTCGCAAAAATGGACACCTATTAGTGTTAAGGTACCGATTTTAGTCAAAGTTTATAAAAGGACATTTGCTTGCACAACATGGTATCCCTTTCAAGGGTTATTTATAGTCAATGTGGTAATATAATATAGGTAAGGGCATATTTTGTCAACACTTTTGCCATGTCTGTGCGAGATCATTCCCTAATTATAAGGTAAAGACATTTAACAAGTTTTTTTTGAAATCCTGACGATGACTGTATACTTTATTTTCAGAATCTTTGAAAAAAGTGAAAACCAAAGACAGTGATTTAACATCGTGTATTATTTCAGCTGTGAATTATAACGGTTTAGGCTTTTTTCTACTCTCTAATTTATCTACAGGTATTGTGAACCTGTCAATCAAAACTATTCATACTCCGCCCACTTTATCATTTATAGTATTGTTTATTTATACTTTTATATTATCTGTTATTATTGTTGGTTTATTCAAATTTAAAATCTCTTTGAAGTTTTGGTAGAATAAATTATTTTTTTTAAAGCAAATGCATTCTTTTCTAATCAGGCAACCTACCAACACATTGCAAATATAAACTTACTTCCATATTAATAGATTCATCAGTAGTCCATGATTCAGTGATATGAAAAAAGCAATTAACATCCATATTTTAGGGCGAAATTTTGTTTACTAGTTAATGTCAGTAAACCAAGAATTTCTAAATACATTTACTACTGGTGATAAAAGAATACAAACTGACAAAACTACAGCACTGTACAGAATATTCATTTCATAGAATAAGCAGCAAGGTATGCTTTAGGCAAAGACAGAGGAAGCAATTGACCTTATAATGCTGAAATGATGTGAATTCTGTAGTCTACCTACATCTACACCAAGAACTAGAATAGAACAAAACATCTTTACTGATTGATTTATTACAATCTAACTGTGAAAAGTACAACAACAATTTAATTACAATCTATTACAAATTTGATCAGGCAAAATGATGGCAATGAACTGAACTGACAATATATTAAATGACTGTACCTCAAATCATAGCAGTGGATGCTGGCATTATCTCACTAAATGCTTCTTTTAATAATAGATATGGCATTGGTAAGTGACTTATCCATTGAAAGCTTTAGTAGCCCTGCTTAGAATATGAAAGGCCAATAGGGCTTTAATCTGTAATTTTACAGCTGTTCACCAAAACTCTGTAAGTCTCAGTAATATATATTGATATATATTGATTGATATAGCCAGATCCTTAAAGGCAGGCAAATAAGTGTGCCTTACAGCTTAGTCAGCTTAATAAAGAGACGACTGTATTCCTTACAATAAACTATAGGTTTAAGGTCAAGTCAGTTTGTCGTTTCAATGAGGTCGTTTCAATGAGGTAGCCTATGGATTAAAAAAAAGAGAATTTAGTGGGATAATGCCTCACAATACAACAACTGTCATTCTATATTGTTTTATAATTTAGAGTTCATTTTCTTCATTAATTTTTCTAATTTCATAGCCAAGGTCATGTCCCCTTTAATTTTTAATTTTCCTGACATAAAGGCCATTGTTGGGTTGAGGTTTCCACTGAACATCTTGGTGAAATCTGTGCTGTCTAGGCTCATAGTACAGGTAGCATCACCCCCTGGAATCTCTCCCTCACCCACAGCTCCGGACCCATTCTTTAAATCCATGTACCATGTACCAGGGTAGTCTCCTGAAAACAGGAAAATTCATGAATTAATGAAAAATAAAGTCACTCCAGCAATTGACATAAACTAATAGACATGGTGATTTTCATTTTTACATCGGAGTAATGTTATTGGACAACATCCTTGCTTTGATCTTTTCAATCTACCATAATCTGATAAAAACTAGCTTCAATTGCTACTCTATTATGTCTAATGTGAGTCCGAATTTGGATGACAAAAGCTCAAAAACTTTTCATCGACTTAGAACTAATCTGAGATCTCACAAAAGCAAGGAAGCTTGCCTAGTCTCATTGAAATACAATGTAAGTTCAAAAGTGTAGCTTCTATTCTTCTAACAAGAAAAGAGTATTTGACAGGCAGGGTTGATAGCAGTTTAATTCTATAAGGATATATACACAGATTGGATAATAGAAAATTTACCTGATAAATTAAACTGGAATGTTCCATTAATAGATTTAACTAAATCTTCGCTCAGTAATGATTTGACTTGTTGAAAGGTTTTAGCAGGACCATCTCCAGAGGATGAGCTAGCAGATGGTTTAAATGCAGGCTTAGCACCCTGATCTACCATTTGTTTGTGGAGAGCTTCTGGATCTTCAGAGTCTAAGAAGAAATCTGGTAACAATGTGGAGCCTGAAATAGATAGTTTTGTAGTTGTAACAAAAACCTGTTCTTTAGACTCTCTTAGATGGATATTTATAACAAAAAACGCAAAACCTTTCTAATTAGACTCCATTTTATCCCATCCACAAACCAATTTACCCAAGTCAGTCACTGGGACGTGGATCACTGCCAAGTTTGAAGGTTACATCATCTTGACAAATGTCCTAGCAAGCTTCAAAATTGCTGAGCCACTGGGCACCCATTATTCGTGGATATTGAATCTGTCAAATGAATGCTCAGCTGACAGGCATCCAGACAGAATATGACAACAATGAAAATCAATGAAAACCAAAAAAAAATTGAGTAGTACCTGGTACACAAGAATACTGTTCTAGATCAGTTATACCAGCATCTCTCACAACTTCATCATCTATAGCAAAATTACCCGTATAACTTTTACTGTCCTTAGTTAACATGATATAGGCTGCATCAGATATAATATCTACTGTACGACATTGAGCCTGTACCTCTTTACCACCTCCCAACATCTCCATGGCTGCTGTATAGATAGCTAGAAAATAAAATAATAGACAGCTAGAAAATATTTTGATATTATCAGTTCAGGATTAACTGAGTAGTGTACTAAGAGACCACTCAAGGGAATAATGGAAAACGGTCTCTTAAAGGAGGTGGTCTCTTAGAGAATTGGGTCAGAATAAACACCAAAATTATTTTGTATTGACAGTTCACTGTACTTATTTTTAAAAAGTTCATAATAATAGTGAGTTTTGAACATACAAAATGATATCACAATAAACTCTTTAAACATCAAAGTATTCTTGTCACCCGTTCTAATAACTACTTGAGGGCGAGTTCAGTTTAATTATTGGCAGCATATCAAACTTACACTTTCACTTTATTGCAGATTTAGAAATCTAACAACATATTCAAGTAAAATCTATTATATTACCTGTTCTGGGCCATAATGCATTGACAGCTATACCATCATTCTTAAACTCTTCTGCCATACCCAAAACACACATAGACATACCATATTTAGCCATGGTGTATGCTGAAAGAAGATCAGGTTTAAATTGATTTTCTCTTCAGGTAACAACACAAACAGAAGCAAAAACCTGTTCTTCGTCAATTTCCAACTGTCAATGGATCATAAACATCACATCATATGATCACATGGTTTTTCATTCCTATATTCCATTCATATTTTCTTGATATTTTGATTGGAATATTGACTGAATATATTTTGTTTTTAAGTATAGGTATATATATTTGTTTTATGTATTCATAAATGGGAATATATCTTTAATATAGAGCAAAAATTAAGGACAAAAAGAATATTGAAATGTAAATTTAAAAAAAAAATTCATATTTCTATTGTAAAAAAAAAAGGATATAAGCATATTTCTTTCATCATAAAGTTCAAGTAAAAAGACAGTAGACAAATTTGCCATTTTACACAAAAATAATCGACGACATCGTAAACACGTTTCTTACCTACATGACCTCTGAACCATATAGGATTTAAATTTAATGGAGGACTCAGATTTAAAATATGTGGATTTTTACCATTCTTTAAATATGGATGACAAACTCTAGAGCTAAAACAGAAACAAAAAATAGTACAAATATTTCAATATTGTCATTACATGGCACATCTAATTGAGTGTATTTTTTATAATTCATTATACATGTAACCTACTAATCTTGGCTAATTCTGTTTTGCTATTCCTAGCAAGGGGTTGCACAAACAAAACATATGGTAGATTGTTTCAGTCATACATTGCACTCTTAATATGCTTTCCATATGCAGGAGTATTACAAAAGTTACATTATGTGCATATGATGATTACCAATTTTTCCTAATTTATGAAGGTCTGCATGACAGATGTACAATTCCAGACAAGCTATAAACTGAAACTTAAAAATTTTACAAAGAAAATTACCATAAATATGTTCCTCTAGTATTAATACCCATCATTAAATCAAATTTCTTCATGGGAGTATCTTGTGTATTGGTAAGGCTGATGGCACTGGCATTGTTCACTAGGATATCTATTCCACCAAACTTAGCTACACTCTCTTCTACAGCTTTATTAACTTCATCCTCATTCCTTATATCCACTATACAGGGTAGACATTTACCACCTAACTTCTCAACTATAATATAATATATAAACTAGAGTTATCAATACACATACTTACCTGCAAGGAAGCATATAACTTAAACCACCCTTAGTTTCAAAATGAATTCACTCAATAAGTGAAACTGTATCAAATTCTTATCAAATGCAAGTGAGAAATATAAGGGGTATCAGTATCATTAGATGAAGGACACATTGTAGACATAGGTCTATTGCAAAATGTCTTCCTACAAGTTTGAAACCTTAAACAATTTGCAAATCTTTATTAGTCTAGCTACATTGAGAACTAAAAGTCAAATGAGAAAACTCTGCCCAATTTCATTTCAAGTAACTTGGTCTAAAATTTGATCTCACCCTCCTCTGCAGCAGAGTAAATGGTACCAGGTAATTTTGGATGTGGTTTCGCAGTTTTAGCAGCTATTACTATATTTGCACCATCTTTAGCTGCTTTCAAGGCTATGGCCTTACCAATCCCTCGACTGGCTCCAGTTATAAACAGCGTCTTTCCAGCCAATTTTCTGTAGGTAAGAAAGTTAATATTTCATAATCTAGTACATAACAGTAATAAAGACACTATAGACCGAGTGCTTCAAAATCTAAATCTTGATGTTCAAGTCAATTACATCAAAAATCCAAGATGTCAAACCACCAAAAACCATTATTGGCATCTTGAACTCATAAATCTAATAGTTATTCAGAAGTAGCAAAAATGAAAAATTCGAATCCACTTTGCACTTACATTTTATTTATCACATCATGTAAAACCAATCCCAATGCAATTTGGCTTGCACTATGCAAAACTTGAAGAAAGTTTTAGACATTTAAATACCTACCCTGTATTAGCTGCCATTTTATCAGGTTCAAGTAGAAAACACTGTCTGTGGTATTCTGGTTTCAGTCAAATTGTTTCAACAAACTCTCTTATTCTGAATTTGAGTGAACTTTGTACTTTTGTTTATCTTCACAAGTCTGAGACTTGTAATTAATCTGGCAACACTGTATACGCTGTGTACAAATTCTAGAATCAATGTTGAATTTTTTTTATATAGAATCAGAAAGGGAAAGAATATTATATTCAAGTAAGCGATGGTTATGCTGAAAAGCATCTTCGTTTATTTGATTATTACAGTATATTTATCGAGAAAAATAATTAAATGTTACATAATCATAAACGCATTATATTTTTCAAAAAGAAAAAAGCATTCAGTTTCTTTTTCTTTTATATTTATTATTTGTATACACAGCTTGTAATCAAACAATGATTTTGAATGAACTTTGGTCAACGATCAGAGAATAATAATTCTATAACTTAACAACTTCTTCTTTTGTATGTTAGGAAATAATACATTGATGTTTGTATCAACTTGTCCATTGAATCTGACATTTTTTTCTTTTTTACTGGGTGCCTCTCTTCACCACAAAAGACAAGACCACTAATTTGACTAAAAAAAATATGTTAGTAACATGTACATCATTATGTCCTTCATGTAGGACTAACAGTGTGAATAAAAAACATTTGTTTATTTTTCAGACACTCTGTAGAAGGCCACTCTAGAACCTTGCAGGATAAAGCTGGTGATAAAAGATGGCACAAGAAAATAGAAGGAAAGTGTATGTGGTTGGTGTTGGAATGACAAAGTTTGAGAAGCCATTTTCTAAGAAATGGGATTATCCTGATATGGCTAGAGAAGCAGGTAATCTCAGCTTAATTTTTAAACCTTTGCCTTTATACTTTTCAAATTAATCGCTTAATCTATGATTGACTTCATGATAATACCAGTCCAAGGTTAGGCTTGTCCTCAACCTTATTGTGGTACATACAGACATTGTAGAATATTTGGTAATGTTTTATGCATTCAATGATGATTCAGCTTTGTAGAGATACCAAATGTTATTCCAAATTTGTCTTTTGTCATGGTTAACCTCCAAAAATGGATTGGAGCAACCGCCATAAAAAAAAGACATTTTATGTCTGACCCTTAAAAGAGCAATATCCCATCCGTATATCAAATCCTAGAAGCATGATTTTTGGGGCTACACTGTCTAAAACTATTTACTATACTGTTTGAAATATTATATATTGAATGATATTTTATCTGTAGGTAAAGAAGCTCTATCTGATGCAGGCTTACAATATTCTGACATCCAGTCAGCTGTAGTTAGTTATTGTTATGGGGAACCTACCAGTGGACAGAGAGCTATCTATGAGCTAGGGTTGACTGGAGTACCTGTATATAATGTCAATAATAACTGTTCTTCTGGCTCCTCAGCTTTAATGTTAGCTAGACGACTGATACAGAGTGGGGTAGAAGACTGTGTTATGGCTCTTGGTAGGTTTATGATTAATGATACTATTGGGGTCATAGAAGATACTCTTGTAAACAAGGACTGGCCTAGATCACAAGAAGAGTACCATATTTTAATTTAATTTCATTTATCTATTTTCTGGTAAAGAGATAAAAATACCGTACATAAATTTATTGACTAAAGAAAAAAGAAAAAAGAAATTATCACAAATATAATTTTAATAAAAGACTTACTGATTCTTATCTAGTCTCTGATAGACAAATTCACATTATTCCATGCATACTACAATGATTGTTGTTAGATGTTGTCCTGCAAGCATAGTTAATTTATACATTATGTTGCAGAAGAAAATCTCTTAATTGAGGCATGCAGATTAACTAATTGATGGACAAAATATCAGAGCTTCAGGAGCAATTGGAATGGCATTGATTCATTTTGACTAACTGTTGTTTTTTTGTAATATTTTAGGGTTTGAAAAAATGGAACAGGGACTGTCAGAAAAGTACACTGATAAAACATCACCAGTTAAACGTCATTTTGATCACATGACTGCTCTAGGTGCGGAGCCTGGGATTATTAAAGAGAATATGAACAATATGACTTCAGATGTCATCAAATTATTTGTTTATGCTGGTCGAGAGTACCTCAAAAAGTATCCCCATGCAAAATATGAGGACTTCGTTGAAGTGGCATACAAAAATCGTAAACAAGGGCTGAACAATCCTAAAGCTTCCTTACAAAGACTTCCTGATAGAGACACAATAAGTAAAAAGGGCATGCTCTCTTTCCCAGTTACATTTTGGATGTCAGCTCCCACTGCTGATGGTAGCGCAGCTGCGATTGTGTGCTCAGAAGAATTCGTTAGAAAACATGGCCTGGAAGGGAATGCAGTTGAAATTATTGCTCAGAACATGGTAACAGATTTGCCCTCTTCATTTGATAAAAGTTTTATGGACCTCTCTGGCTTCAATATGGCCAAACTTGCTGCAGACAAATGTTACAAGGAAGCCAATATATTGCCTTCAGATATTGATGTGGCAGAGGTTCACGATTGTTTCTCATTAAATGAGTTGTTTATGTACGAGGCTCTACAGTTCTGTGGTGAAGGGCGTGGATGTGACTTAATTCGTCAGTCGGCTTGGAAGAAAAATAAAAATGGTGGAGAAGTTTGTTGGATGGGAAAGCGTGTGGTTAATCCTTCAGGTGGATTAGAGTCCAAAGGTCATCCTATTGGTGCCACAGGTAGTGTACATTGTTACTGTATTCAAAGATAGTAGTCCATGGCCAAGATTCACACCGAAAAAAAAGTCTAATATATATAAGTATTGTGAAAAGTGTAATGAAAACAGTAGTTTAGTGTTATAACAATACTCTTTTTAGATTTCCAACTTTCTAGAAATTGGCCTCTACTCCTTGCCACATGTGCAATAAAAGTTTTTTTTCATGCCAGCCTTTATGATGTTTTACTGACAAAGGGAACTCGTCATGAAATTTTACCTTGGTTTGCAAGCTAGACTTGAGTAACAAATACTTCCATATTTGACATAATCTGGGGGATTTCCAATTTACATCCTTAGAAGGAAGTATATATGTATCTTTGTTGTAAACAAGCATATTTTTTTTTTACCTGCTGTCATTCTTTTATATAATATCTAATTCACAATATATTTTTTCATTTAAAGGTTTAGCACAATGTTATGAGTTGGTGAATCAGTTGAGAGGTAAATCTGGTAAAAGACAAGTTGATGAAGCTAAAACGGCATTACAACATAATTTTGGTATAGGTGGAGCTGCTGTTGTTACTATTTATAGACAATTTCAACCAAATTACCCACAAGCACGAATGTGATATGATTTTGTATTCATAACTACTTAAGAATAAACTTGGTGCACCAATAACTTTTCTAGAAGAGTGCTTCTCAACCTCTGTGAGATCATTCCTCCCTGAAAGGCTTCTTCCAAATCTATTCCCATGGTTTTTCTATTCCTCCCCTGTTGAGAAGCACTGTGCTAGAATATATTCTTCTATCTATATATATAGATATAGATATAAAACTATTGTTATTGAGAAATATTTTATTGTTAAATATATTGTGTAACATAAAATATGAAAGGACCAGGAACTGGTGGGTTACTGGTTGTTTCATGTATTTGTTGGTCGTTTCTGGTCGGTTCACGTTTTAGTAAGTACGATTGTGTAAATAATAAATAAATAAATATAACAAAAGTCAAAAATATCACAGACTGATTACAACATAGTGCAGGATGGGTATTTGTGCACATTCGGGATGTTTTGAAAAAAAAACTGATTAGTCCTAAAAATAATTAGAAGTAGGTTAAGTTGTAATGAACACAGTTAAAGTGTTACTAGTCAAACTTGACTTAACCAAGCTGTCAGGGGAATGCTCAAACATAGGTGCTTACTTGAGGGTATTGCTTCACCCAGGCATGTATTTAATATTCTGCCTAAAGATAAGGAAGACTGTTCAATGTTTTGATTTGTCCCAGATGTACACAGACATCCATCCTCAACTTTACACTATTAACTAGGTAAAAGAAGTCAGAAATAAAACTCAGTATTTCTTTTCAAATATCATCAAATATTTTCTTAACCAACTAAAACAGCTCAACCCAATGGTTGCTGAAATTGATCTCTATTGGCCAGTAAAACAAAAATTTGCCCTCACTCTAAAATGTTTTTGAAATATATTTCAAAATAATATCTATATATTTACAAAGAATATTTTATCAAAGTTTATAGTATAATCATTATAAAAGTATTTTTTATAGAGTGTTGTTAACTTGTGAATATAAAAAAATTATGTAAAATGTTTAAAAATAAAAATTGATATGTATCCATTATTAATTAAGATTTAGAAGCAGAGAGCACATATAACAGAACAACACAAGGGAAGATATTATGGTATAACACTTTTTTATTTAAGTAGTAATATATTCCCGTGTTTTTTTAGTTATCCATACTGAATTTCCAAGACGTGTCCTGTCTAGAAACCAAATTGTACTGACTGCTTCCCACTGGGAAACTTCCTACTTTACAGGAGTACAGAATAACTAATTAGGTATATGATAACCTTAAATCATAAGAAGATATAACAAAGGAATAATGCTACAAGAGAGATCCTGACATATGACCAGTATCAATATTGGACAACCAATCAGAAATATATAATAAACATGTGATATTTCTCTCTAGAGACCATGCAGCTGTACTGATGTGTCCCGAATAGAATCAAGTGGTAATTACAACTTCCAAGTAGGTAACTTAGCAGAGGTAAAACATACAGCATAAGACTGAGCACTGACGATACAAAATTAGTGCAAATAAGTTACATGATTAACTACAAACAAGGACTTGATAAAGGGAATAGTTATCTAATTACTCACTTTACAAGCTGTATACATTTTAAAGTATTGTAAAGAGTTTTCTGAATATTTTATGTGACAGTATTAATTTGTACAATTTCAATTTTCAGTTAGACTTTTGTGGGTCCTGCAATTCTTGCAATTATGGCAAAGGCTCTTAGATATTATATGCAGCTTTTGCAATGGTGATGTCATATACAGTTCAGCAGTAGTTCCATAATTGCAGGAACCACAGATATCAGACAGAAATTGAATTGGTTGAAAAAGTCCAAAATTGTCACCTAGGAACCCTATTTACAATTACTTTAAATGGTAAAGGAAATAAATGGACAACTATATTCTTTAACAAAACAAAAATACAGCAAATATTCAAGTTCAAACTGACTACATTTAAAACAATGGGAGGCAAGATTCGTTCAGGTTAAAACCTTGGAACAGTGAAATTTAACATTGAAATGTGATAGAAGTAATGCTTCACTTTACTGAACGACCATGAAGTGACCATGAAGTCAATAAAAAATTGATTGTAAAGATCATATGCCAAAACGAGCTGAAGGATCTTGGTATATTTTAACATTCATAGTTTTATGTAGTTGAATGAAGTGTCAACCTTTAAAAAGTTAAAATCAATAGAGCCAATGTGATTCAGATATACTCAAATGCACTAAAAGATCTACTTCTCTATAGAATTAGCTTGCACAAAATATTTAAAGTTCTAATGCCCAAGTGATAGTTCATAAGATAGTCCAATGTATTAAGATTCTACTACAGTGACCAAAAGAGAGTTTTTTTTTGTAAAGAGCTCATGTAAATAAAAATTTCAGAATGGCTTTTAAGAATCTTGCCGTTTTGTTTTTAAATGAACATCTCAATGTTCACGTCATGCCTTCGACTTTATTTTGATAGAGTTTAGAATAACGTTGACTAAATGTTTGTGGATTCCAGGAGGCTGGCGGTTTATCTCTACTTGTTACATACCTGTAATATATAATAAATATTCTTCAATAGATAATATAACTTGAGTCATAACATTCTCATTGCGGATCAATTTGGAGTTTATTTTGCCTAAACCAACCAAAAACATATTGACTTTAAATGGTTCTAAAAATTAACGACAAGATATTTTCGTTATAACTTTTAAATAAGTGTAGGGACAAATCTCCAGATTTAAGTCTCGTGTTTTTTTATTAATTTGAACACTTTAGTTCCCTATTACAGTTTTTCCTTACCTATAGCCATTTTGTTGTAGATAGGGGTGTGGTAGGAGTGGTCCCAGTATACCATTAATTTTTTTTTTGATATAAGAAATTCTAGGGATTTGTCAAAACATTTCTAATAGGTTAAATATAGGATCTTATTAAAGACAGACCAATATCACTTACCCATAACCATTTCGTTGTAGATTAGGAGGTTGTGAATCTTGTTCAGTGTCACTATTAGACTGGGGCGCAGACTTGGCTTCAGTGGCAAACTGATAAACTATCAATAAACAATCTTTACATAGCTGTACAATCCTTCGACAACAATATAACTCATATTCATTGATACTATCAGAACTCTTACTAAATATAGTCTCCCATGTATTCCTGAAAAGATAAAGACAGAGTCGTGTTGTCTTGAACTTTAGACTGCCATGTAGGGGTGAAACCTGACAACTATGGTTTCACTTAAAGGAATATATGCATCACAAATTGCTGATAATGATAAATTTCTGTTATCATTTCAGTCATCTGTCCTCCTTCCGAATGATGTATCTTCAATGAAATAAAAACAACCTGTTTTCATTTTAGAAAGTGATTATCGTCTAAAGTTTTATAGACCTTTTTTAAGTTCAGATATAAATACAACATTAAGGAAATCTTACCCTATAGATGCAAAACAGTTCCATAATCCTTGTCCATGACTCCATAGCAACCTGTTAAAAACACGACTAAATATACGATAAATCCTGAGAGAATCTATATCTGAACATTTCCAGATTCTCTGTAAGACTGCTCGGACATTAGACCGAACTATATCAATCACTTTACGTCGTTTTATAGAATCTAACTTCACCAGCCAGTAATTTGCTATTCGTGGTTTGTGAAACTTCATATTCTCATGTAACTGAAATAAAACAAATTAAATAAGAGAGTAACTTGATTGATTTCACATACTCATAATGATGGTGGTCGCTCATCATTTCTTTGAAAAGTCAAAGGTTACATTGTGGTTTATTGTGGTTACATATTGAAGGTGTTGATGAGCAGGATTCACAGCAAATGCAAATTCTTACATAGTACCATAGGTTCATATCTAAATCTTTGTTTAAATAAGAGTTCAGCCAATCAGAGTTCTGTATGTTTTAGGGTAGCAACTTACTTGAAGCATATGATACCATTCTACAAACTGCATTCCCTGATGTGAATCTATATTCAAACTTATAATTAGACATTAAAATAAAACATTGAAAAAGTAGAAGAATATTGACATACCCTATCTAATAAGTTATCAGCCTCAGAATCAGATTTACCAGGGAATTTGATTCTCATTTCGTTGAGAGCTGTTAATGTTTTACGTGTCAATTCATCTTCCTTATCACGGACAATATTAGACAGTACATTCTCATCCTGTAAATAAAAACAGAATATGCTAAACAAGTACTTACCAGATTGCTTTCAAATAGTGGCTTAACTAAATGGGTGGGGACCCCTGGACTTGAAAGGGTAGGGGCCCCTCCTCTGAAGAAATCTTTCTAAGCATCTGCTCTCCTTCATTTTTTTCTGGGTTTTTCAACATTAATTTACCAAATAAGATTTTTTGTGTAGTTATATGTATACAATATCAAACAGTGTGTTCGTATTCCGCTTTTACGAACAGGTTGGGTTCCATGGATTCCCCAGCTTTTCTCCAAATCAAATGATCTTTTCAATAAAATCTGTGATTTCTGAGATATTCATTATTTGACACCAACTTTCATTTTCTGACAGACCTTTAAAAAGTAATCAGATATGATATTGAATAGTCCTTCTAGCTAGGAAACAATTCTTTGGGAAACTCACCAGTCCATTTCTTGAAGTTGTTTTATTATTTCCTACAACACGAGTCAATGACCTTGACCTCTGTAGTGATGTGTTACTACCAGGTCGTTGATTTTGGGTTTTTTCAGAGTTACTACGGTGATGGGAAGACTGTGGTCTGGATCGAGAGTGAGGTCTTTTGATTATGGAATCATCATCACTGTCATCTTCGTCATCATTGGAAACTGTTGGCAGGTTTTCTGGCATACTGGTAAGAGGCTAACAAAAAATAAATTTTGAAATTAGTAAATAAAAAAATACATACAGTCTTCCATTTTAGCATCTTTGACTATCAGCAATCAATTACAAAATGGTGAACAGTCAATATTAACAGGGAAACCTGATGCAATTTCACTCAGTTTGACAAGCCCTTTTTCAGGTACAAAATACACGAAAATATACAGTAGTAGCAAAATAATAAATATTGTCTGTGAAAGATGAAAGTCTACAAAAAACTGTACATACTTTAGGAGCTCTGGGTGGTCTATGACTAGGAAATAATCGGCCATCTTTCTCGTCAGCTTCACACTGTTCTATTTGATCTAATATATCTTCTTCCTGAATATTCATAACAGTTATTATTGAATGATTCTTAAAGGATATTAACAGGAACTCTGTTGACTAGCTGTGACACCAGAGTTTAAACTCTATATTCATTCTAAGAGATAGTATTCCATTTATTACAAAGCTATTGGTGTTCTGAGAGGAAATTTTGATGAAAAATCAGATTGTTTTTGACAAAGTTAATAGCAAATGAACATGATAATGCAGTTATCAAATTGCATTACTAACAATAAATAGAAAAGCAAAAATAATATTCATAGTGGTGGAAGCTCTCTTCCCAGATTCCACAATGCTTAAAGATAAATCTACCATGGTAGGCTAATGGTTTTATGTGTCAGTCCCTGCACCCCCTTCCCACCCCTCTACCATATATCAGTTTTTATCAAAACCTCACCCTTAATCTATTATTATATGTCCTTTCTATTTCTTTCTGCATATTGTTATTACGACCGGAGAGCATGGTAGCGAAAGCAGTCGTCATTAAATTACAATATCTTTCTTGACGTAATCTATCATCACTAGGAAATATTCGACGAAATCGACCCAAGTTTCTGTTTTCATAGTCTTCTCTAGTTGTTGCTTTACGAACTTTGTTTAACTGTTCTTTCTGAAATACAAGAAAAATAATATATAAAATATACAGAAAAATATCTGCCATAAATTAATTCTAAGCTGATAACTTGACAAAGAGTGCCAGTCATGTCTGATTCAAGCATAAAAATGATTTATACAACTTTTTTGTGAAGTAGGGACATCATAATGTTCAGTAAGACTGCAGATTTTACTCTGCCAGTCATGTCTAATTTAAGTTTCAAATGTCTGATTTATACAATAAACAGTCCCAGCTGTAAACATTCAAAAGCAATACCTTTGATTTTGGCTGCATTGTGTCCATTTATTGAAACCTGAATCTTTCTAAAGTATTGGTCCATAAGGGAAATTATATATGCAATCCTTATATCATAGTACGATCTGAAAATCAATCAATTAGGGACTGAATAAAAATACAAACAAAACATATTTTACCAGTTCTTCCTTCTTTTTAGCAATATTTTGTTGTTTTCGTTGTAATTCTGTCATGTCTGAACCATCTCCTTTCTTTGTTGTTCGAAACAATCTCTTCTGAGCCTCGGCTTTTTGATTTGCTAAATTCCTTCTTTTATCACTAATTCTACAAACAATTAAATAACATCACATATTAATTATATCACATTATTCTGAATGTAAACGGTTAAAGAAACACCATACATACAGTGTGCAATTTTCTGATTTAGTTCAGATAAGATTTGAACAACATTTAGAAGTGGAGAAAAAAAAAACATAAGGGGTATGTTAAGGTATAACTCACTTCTTTAATAACACAGCACATAACGTTTCAACACAATTTTCACGTGTCGTCATCAGATCAAATGGAAGTTGTGGGTAAACATGAGGATATATAACAAGAAGGAAGCCATGTACATGATATTAAAGAAGTGAGTTATACCATAATATACCCCTTGTGTTTTTTTTTGTTATGATTTAGTTCAGTCTTAAAAATGAGACAATACAATTTTTGATCCACATCAATTTCAGAATTACACTACACTGAAAATTTTGAACAGAAATAATGCTATGACTGTGGCATAATTTCCACCAACTTAAAATACCATGGGAAAGAAAACCTGATTTGTTACTACAATCAAATTATGATGCCAGTCCTAATGACAGATTGATCTTAACTGAAACACAGTGTCGATAAAATCTGCTATCCTACACTTGATAGTGTATTGGTAGAAAATTAAAGAGAAGAGTAAGGGATATTTTCATGAAATAAGTTCAATGATTCTAGTGTTTCAGTCATCTGATAGGTCAATCACTAAAATCAATTTTAAATCTAGCTTTCAGATTTCAGATTTCAATTAAATTTATGTGAAACAGGGCCCTGAATTCAAGTGAAAATTTCTCCTGACTTACTTGATATTAAGAAGTTTGAGTGTATCTTCTACTAGAGCTGATTTAATATCATAGTCTATCTTTTCATCAGTTCCAAAACTTGGTGAACGATTTATCTATAATGACACAAATTACAATATTTTGATTAGAGTATGAAATAGTGAATAGACTAGACTAATTATCAGACTTTACTGAGCTTTATCTCAATAGATCATATTCACCCAAATCTAAATGTTTCTTAACCTTCTAACACAGGTGTGAATAACATATCTCTGAACTCAAGTAATATAACATAAATTAAAGGAATTTCATTATGTGCTGTCACCTCGTAACAGCCCCTTGTGTTGAAATATTTTTTGAAGAGGATGAGGCACATTTGGATTCAAAAAAGAAGAATTAAACATAATAGAAGGATTGTCTTTTGCAAGGCAATAAGGTTTCATAGGTCAACTGTTTTTATCTACTGTAGACAAACATCAGATCTAAAGCAGCTTCAGAGAACCTTACTAACACAAATGGATTAATCTACATCCATCTTACCTCAATCAACCAAGGTCTACATTTCCTATCTACCATAAAATCAAATCCCAGAATTTCAAAACAGACACTATCACCAGCAGTAGACTGGCCAGGTCTACACATTCTATAGGCATGTAACACATGAGGTTCTGCTGCTATCATTGTCTTTACTATCATTTCAGATATATCAGTCCATAATTTATTTACATCGTGGTGATTTCGTCGTAAATATTCGTTAAGATACTGAATAGAACGTTTACTTCCTGTATCAACACCCATACTTTTCTCATACGTCTCACTGTGTTTATTAATTGAATAGTTTGTTAGATGCATATAAAGCCGGCCCTGAAAAATAAAGTTGGATTTGTATTATTAAGGACAAAATGACATATAAACTTTCCTAGCCAAATAAAAAGACTGTTGAACTGTAGAAAACTCAATTTGGATTTTCATTCAAAAACGTGATACAGATACCGTAGTTGAAGTATTGAGATCACTTCATCCCTTCACATGTACAGTATAACAAATCTCATACTCCACACAATTCAATCCATCATTTATTAACACATTTAGCTCTGAAACGCATTTAAGTAGTATGATATGAACAGAACCAAAATCATACTCACTACATTACTGTCATTGGGGGGAATGTAGCGCTCTGTACACAATCTAACTAAACCATCATTTAATAAGAATATACGAAGTGGGTCACATGACGTAACCAACACGTATACCCGTAAATCAAATTTAAAACCATCCAATAATAAAGGTTTATCAATATATTCTTGAACTATTGTGTGTTCAGACTGCATTATCTTTTCTGCATTCCGATATAATGATATCCTGAAAAATTATATAGGAAATGAAGTTATTTAAGATGGAAAATCCTCAAATGAATTCAAAAGCATTTTGAAATGAAATAGAATTCCTGATCAGTTTGAATCTAACTTTCCAGTCTAAAACAAGTTTATGAAAGTAATACAAAAATATGTGTTCCCAACCATGGGTTCAAATCCTCCTAAAGAACTTACCCATGTCCCTGTGCACCATTCGATGGTTTGACTATAAACGTACGTTGTTTTTTCTTTGATTTTAATTCTCGAGCATGGCCCAGTAGTAAGTTATAATCTGAAGGCAATATCCACGTTTTTGGTATAAAATCATATTCATTAGGAAACACCTTCTGTAATCTGAAATATATTAAACACCATATAAATCACTATGATATGTGATAGAAATTCAATGCAACTCAATGTAAATTGGTTCTGTGACTGAAAGGTATCAATGCCTGTGTACATAGACTTAATATAGTCAATGCAATGTTTCTTTATACTTAAGGCAAGGGTAGTCTCCAATTTAACAAACATGCCTATGTGCACAATCTTAAAATAACGATTTACATGTGCATCAGGCAAAGTAGTCTTCAATCTATCAAACGTGAAGTTTGAAAAATAGAAACAATGGCTATTTCTTTATGGCACTTCCTATCATTCAACAGTTTTGAAGATCTTTCAGTTGTTAAAATCTGAGTCAAAGAGTTAAGAGTCAAACTTTGATTGTATGTTAAAACCCCTGAAATGCCCAGTTTGTGATTCTCACTTACCTTAAAATATTTCTCGCCAAGGAATCTTTACGTGTTATCTCTCCCATACCAGGAAAATGATTCATTCGTTGATATGATTTTAAATCTGATATTCTATCAAACGATACAAAACTATCATTCCATATTAAATACCTAGAAAATATAATACATGCCTTAAACATTTTGAGAATCATTAACCAGTTGAGGGGATGATTCTTTGATTATCCATTGAGCTACAAACAGAAAATCCTGAAAATTCTGCTAATAGTCTGCATTTTATCAGAACAATTAATGATGGCCATTTTACAGATTAAGTTTTACAATCGATTGTCATCACTTGGCAATACTGTTACAAAATAGACTTAATTAAGCTTGGAAAGCATGTTTATCTTCAGGAGTACCTGATCTGGTCACTTAGAAAGATGTAATTTACAATGTAATGTGACTTTCATGCAAGCTGAATAACTTGGCCAGTGTTTTTGTAGAAGAGTTCGTTCTATAACACACAATTTTGATACAAAATATACTTACGCTCCCCAATCATCTTCTTTAGATACAGAATAACCCAACTTCTCTACCATTTGTCGAACTGGAAATAATCAAATCATAAACAACCGAGTGCATGAAGTAGAGCACTGAATTACTGGACATTGTTACAGTGGACAGGCAATCAATCAATTTTTTATATGCAAAAGAGGAATTTTGTATTTTATAGACAAGGATTATGGGCCCAATATTTCAATGAAAGACTCAAATTTTACTCTTAAGATGTCAGCTCGAAGGTCATTTACTTCCAATAAATCTTGGAATAAGAAAGAGGTGTGTATAATATTCACAATTATACAGTAACTTACCAACTTCATATCTAGTGCCACTTAGATTAGCTGTAATCAAATGTTTCTTCTTTGTTTTCTTCTTGTTTCCCGATCCCCTCTCTGATTTATTTTTATTAGATTGTGAGGAATGGCGTTGAATATTGTCCTCAGGTAAGTCTCCCTCCATATTTCTGTCTATAGACCGAGACTTCCATTGTCCAGGTAGTAAGTTGTTACGAGTATAATGACTGTTGGGAGAATAATTATCTAAAAAAAAATTTTAAATTTCAAGGAATATCTCAAAATGACATCAAACAAACTGAAGTAGATAGTCAGTTACTTTTACATCATCATAATGTGGCCTGATTATTCTCAAATCTAGATAATACTGACCTACTCGTGAGACAAACACCTTTTATTGTAGAAGCTCAGCTAAAAAGGAGAAATCCAACAACCAATGTAGATATTGTTGACTTACCTCTACTAAGAGATGAGAGAGAACTGACTTACCTCTACTAAGAGATGAGAGAGAACTGACTAACCTCTACTAAGAAATGAGAGAGAACTGACTTACCTCTACTAAGAGATGAAAGAGAACTGACTAACCTCTACTAAGATATGAAAGAGAACTGACTAACCTCTACTAAGAGATGAGAGAGAACTGACTTACCTCTACTAAGAGATGAGAGAGAACTGACTAACCTCTACTCAGAGAAGAAGGAGAACTGACTAACCTCTACTCAGAGAAGAAGGAGAACTGACTAACCTCTACTCAGAGAAGAAGGAGAACTGACTAACCTCTACTAAGAGATGAGAGATAACTGACTTACCTCTACTAAGAGATGAGAGAGAACTGACTTACCTCTACTAAGATATGAAAGAGAACTGACTAACCTCTACTAAGAGATGAGAGAGAACTGACTTACCTCTACTAAGAGATGAGAGAGAACTGACTAACCTCTACTCAGAGAAGAAGGAGAACTGACTAACCTCTACTCAGAGAAGAAGGAGAACTGACTAACCTCTACTAAGAGATGAGAGATAACTGACTTACCTCTACTAAGAGATGAGAGAGAACTGACTTACCTCTACTAAGAGATGAGAGAGAACTGACTAACCTCTACTAAGAAATGAGAGAGAACTGACTTACCTCTACTAAGAGATGAAAGAGAACTGACTTACCTCTACTAAGAGATGAGAGATAATTGACTTACCTCTACTAAGAGATGAGAGAGAACTGTCTAACCTCTACTAAGAGATGAGAGATAATTGACTTACCTCTACTAAGAGATGAGAGAGAAGATAGTGATGTACTCTGTCTTAAAGTCATAATAGATGTATTCAATATCGGCCAGTTTATATCATGATCTTTACACTATTTATCTTCCTATACAATCTTCCTCTCCTATAAAAATCAAATCTTCCTTTCTTCAATAAATCCTCTTTCTGCTTGACTGTACCATATAAATCTTCCTTTTGTATCAAATTTTCCTTGTATTGGATGCAATCCTCCTTCTTATGCTATAATTCTTCAATTCATTTGGCACAAATGTCCTTGTTTGTTTTGATCAAATCTACCTTCTTTAATGATGCCTTTTCTGTGTATCAAATCTTCCTTCTGTTTAAATCCCTTTTTTGTTGGGTATCCTCTGGTTGATATGTAAATCTCTGATCAATCTGCCTTCCTCTTGTGTAAATATTTGTATCAATTCTCCCCTTTCTTTAATACATTAATTAATACAGTATAAGATCCTCTCTCTGTTTGATACAATAGGCCTTTTCACGATAACGTAGCACCCCCTGTTATTGTTTGTTTTATGAACCTGGATAGGAAAAAAAATATTTTAAGAACAGGTATCTCACTAATGATCTTCAAAATCTAACTATATAGATTACAACAACATAGTACTTTCATTATATAAGCTTATATTGATATATGGTATACTCTTACATGGCAGGTTATTTCAACAATTTTAAAGGGTGACTGCCACTAAATAAAAACCATCAATAATGTACAGTGGGAGTACAGCGGGTTGTTTTCACCCCCAATTTTACCCTCACTTCATTTTTAACAAATTCTATAATATCTTTATATAAGTTTTCATCCCATATATGTGTAAGAATGCACCAAATCTCGCCCATATTGTGCTACCCACGAGCTACCACATTCTGAATATGTAAAACAAGTTAGAGCCTATGGTAGAACATTTTTATAGATGAAAACCTTTAAAATTGGACTGTCAAGAGGCTTAGATAACAAAATGGTAAATTAATAACAAGTCATGATGCTTTAAGTTCAACAACATAGGTCTACTTAGTAATAGGAAAATATTCAAGTTGTAACACTTCAACATGTCAACCTAACACTTGAACCTCCCAATTTAAAACTCAAGTGGACTTAAAACTCTGATAATATTAATGCAATGATATAGGTAGGCTTTCATCTAGTCATAGATAATCTGCTGAGGGGAATGTTTCCAAATTTAGAGAATCATAATATATCTCAGAATTCCAAAACATCTATATTATAAGGGTCATGTTATAGACCCTCGATCCCAAGGGTCAATGCACAAGTGAGCACTATTATTCTATTCACTATCTTCTGTATTTCAAGTACAATAGATCTAGTCAGTAGCCTACTGAGTAGGCTAGTCGAGAAAGAGAAATGTCATCTTTACTTATGGAGAGCCAGATCACAACTTTTTCAAATAACAACGACAATCAAATATCAAAGCCTACTTTAACAAGAATCATTCTAAATTTAAAAAACATACCTTTAAAACTGTTATAAAACAATTTTATTCATCCAAAGGAATTTCACTATCGATGGCAGCCATATTTGTTTGGTCACGTGACGGGCACCTGACAACATCATATTTATTTGAGTTTACTTGACAACAAGGGAAAAGTTGATTAGATCTTTCATATTGACCCATTAAATCTGTATTGAGTGGTGTATTGGGGCGAAAATAACAAGGATAAACAAACCATTACCTTCTACAAAACTGTTTTAACACGTTTCCCTGATTATTGCACGAACGTTTTATAGGGGAGAGTAGGGATAATAGGCCGCACTAATGATTTCATAGCATTACACTGATTTTTTAATACGACACACGAGGTTCAAATTTAAATAAGTGTAACCAAATAGGCGTCCGTTTTTGTTTTGTTTTTTTCATTTCAAAAAATGTAGGTTTCTAATGGATTTTATAGGGGAAAGTGGGGATGGATGGTCATCCGATTTACTTATTGACAATAATAGCTCGCAAGGACTTGAGGACTCAATATTCGAACGCAAATTTCGGCTCTGATGGAATCTAACTTTACTTTTTTGTAAATGTGATACAGGTAAATCATCGGTCGTTACACTTACCTGGACAGTCCATTGGCATTTCACTTGCACGAATCAAAACCTTGGTAATAAAATTACGCCTATATATATCTCAACGCTCAATGAAAATTGACTGTCATATGACAAAACATGACATGACCAACATTCAATTAATCGTTTTAATTAAGGTTTAATCAACTAATCAACACACCCTCAAAACTTGATTAGTATACATAAGAAATATGCTTCGCGGAGTTTATTTAAGAGCACCTGCTAATCATGTCAATCAATCTAGATCGATATCAACCAATCATAGACATTCTCCCAAAAATATACTTAAGCGGGAATTCGCAAATACAAAATCACTCTACAAATATTCCAAACTGTGAAATCATATCAAAGTCAAACTAAAGAAACAATATGAAGAACTTCAGTATTGAGTATCTTACAAGCACCTCGACTCCAAAAGCTGAGGGAAGAAAATCTGGAAACTTGATGAAGATGAACCACAGTCTAGATTCATCATGGTCTTCGTCATCATCATCTTCGTTTTCATCCCCATCTTCGCTATCACCAGCGACAACATCGGGAATAAAAGATCTGTATCACCCAATGAACTTTTGGAATATCGGAGTTTCCGGATTTTCGACCATTTCTCCATCGGGTTCATTGCAGACATCACCGGAAGTAGTACAGAAGAAGGTCATCACGACAGATTCATTGAAAAAAGACAGTCACAGGGATATCACCAATGATGATTTGGACTGTAATGAGGATTCTTCAATATCATCCAGTCCAGAATTACAAAAAGCTGCTTCATCGTCAAAGAAGCCACCCCACTCTTACGTGTCTTTGATATCAATGGCGATACTGGAATCGGAAGCAAAGAAGATGATTTTAGCGGATATTTACAACTACATCATGACTAAATTTCCTTATTACAACAATCAAGATAAAGCCTGGAAAAACAGCATCAGACATAACTTATCTTTAAATGAATGTTTCATTAAAAACGGACGAGCTGAAAACGGTAAAGGAAATTATTGGTCTATCCATCCTGCCTGTCTTGAAGATTTTTCTAAAGGAGATTTCAGACGACGACAGGCGAGAAGAAGGGCAAGAAGAACTTTGGCGCCTATGATCCAAAATACACAGATGATTGGAGGACCGATCGGTTATGTGCCCATGACAGCTTCAGCCCTTCCTTCAAATCATGGTATACCACCGAGTGCTGGCCTGACGATGCCAATGCAAACACTCCCAATGCACATGCCACAAATGCCCATGAGTACAGGGTTCACAGTTGGTGCTCCCGGAGCACAATATTTCAATTACATGAACAATCTGAAGCATTTTATGAGTTACCAGATAAATCCAACATCAAATCAGCTTCAACCTTGGTAAAGTCGGGTGTTTGAATTTAATAGGAATCTATGCAGGACTCGTATGCAATATTTTGGTAGGTGCCAGTTCAGTTCGCCAGACAACTTCATGGTACTATCTGCAGCAAGTAAACTAGTAAAAGAAGCAATGGTTTTAGATAACATATTTTTGATACCTCCTGTTGACGAATACGGTCAACATGCTAAAGTGCTAAAAGTTGGATTGTATTCCAGACAAGTATGATGTACCATTGGTAGCTATTAATCCAAGATTTAAAAGTGCTTCAATTTGATTTTGGTTTTGTATTTTCTATCAATCAAAACTGTAAATACTTTTGTTATTATCGTTGTTTTGTTTTGTTATTATTGGAATGAAATAAATATTATTTAAATTCTATAAAATTTGTGATATACATTAGACCCTTCTGACCACAGAAAACTTTCCCTAGCGCACAATCTGCTTGCTACTTGGATTCGATACTTATCGTATGATTTAAGACGATACTTCACTTCTCCTGACCTATTTTTCCATAATCTTTTCCGGATTACATTAAAGATTGACTATAAGCAGCGACAGGAATCCACAGGTTTTAACTTTTGGTAATAATTTGTGATGCTTGAGGGTGTTTTGTAGGTTTTTTTTTTAACACAAATAAAGTCTTGATTACAATCCCTACCAACTGCTTTTGACTTCTTAGAAAATGATGATATGGAGTGGAACTGAAATGGCAGATGTGTTGGACTAACTCTTGGCCTATGTCTACCACAAAAATGAAATCTGCACTCTTTTGTGCTTGTCACAACAGGATATTGTGAATACAAAACCCCACAGAAACACAAAAGAAATCTTTTACTCTGTTGGGCACGGTCTGCGACTGTTTCCGTAGTTCAATCTGAATATATTACTGCTAGCGAAGTGCTGTAGGATATCATTGATATGTATCTTATCATCATTGTTCCGCTTACTTAAGCAATAGGTCTTGTCAGTTTCCGAGCTCTATAACAATGGGTTTTCGATAAAGAAATATGTATTTCAAATTGTGATTTAATAGTAAGAAGTGCGTAACGAGTTCTGTAGATAAAGATTAAACAGTAGTACGGTTTCACGACTGGAGGTTTGACTCAAGATACAGATAAAGCTTATTTCTTACTAACTCACCTACTCTCACGTAGGGACAGGGTCTGTCCACTAGGAATATTCACAGTATACAGATTGTGTATATGGAAACAGTATTAATCTATATCGGCCTTAAGGATATACCGAGTGACTGCCCTTGACTTAGAACAAAAGCCCCAAGTTTAGTTCAAGACAGGCTTTTTATTCGAATCTTAGTGTATTTTGATTGAGTCTAGATTGAGTTTGAAAATGGTTACATGACTGTCAACTAACAATTATAGAATTATTGCCAATAACGCATTTGTAACAGTTTATATTCGATTCTTACGAAAGTAGTTTGTGAAATAAATCAACCATCGATACAAGTTCTGCTTGCGCCCCGCAACATATGCCGGGAATTGTCGAATCTCCCTGATTTAGAACTATTTTGACCAATGCTGCCAAGAATTTATAAAGAATCTTACCAGCTATTACAACAACTACATATATAAAATGCTTGTAAATCGTCTTGTTATCTAAACACAGCGAAGGTATTTGGAGGCCAATTTGTTTCCTTTTCGGAAGCGCCGTTCACCTGCAAGTGTATCTAGAATTATGTGCACTCTAGGTCTTTTGTGTCCTTTTTTTAACCTTTCACCCTACTAATCCTATATTTTAATAAACGTAAAAAGCCGATACAGATATCAAGTGTCTGGAAGATCAAATTGTTTCATTTGGCAAGTATTCCCTTCTGTTCATTATGATACAAGTTGATAGCTTTTATATTACTATCTGACCTGAATCTGATCGTTCGGGTAAGAGTCCAAGGTATAATCTTCTGACTTGGGTGTAATGATATGAAATCCTGTGTGTATACGCTCATGATCTTTATTAAAATTCAACAAACATTTACAAAGAATAACAAAATATATACAGAGATAAATAGGCTAATAACAATAAATAACAATGTAGTTTGAATTCTAGCTAATAAAAATTTACACAACCAGAGGATAATCATCTTAAATTACATGAATTACACGTCCTACTTTTCTGCACCAGAGTGAGCTAATGAAGAAGAGAGATAATCATCTGCGAAACTATCTTATGTCTTTTTGAAAAATATCATTGTTGATGTTGCTAAATAAACAAACACAATTGAAGAACTGAACCATCTGTTCTAGTTCACCAAGATGGATATCCCGTTCCAGTCATAAAAGAAGGATAAATCATCGAAGTACCATTATTGACATTATCGTAAGGTAGTGTGTTACTGGTAGATGACATCAATGCAGGGTACATGAAAGCTGATGATAGCATGTTAGGAGCTGTAGTCGTTTGTACTGGCACATTCGGCATTGGTTGATAGTTGGTGGTAGGAGTAAGAGTTGCGGGCGTAAGAGATGATGACGACATTGGTATATATTCCAAACTACTTCTGTACGCCATATTTATACTGCTTGACGTCACGTCAGTCATAGCGCTCTTCCTCGCGCGTCTCCTCGCCTGTCGTCGTCTGAAATCTCCTTTTGAAAAATCTTCAAGACATGCCGGATGAATAGACCAATAATTTCCTTTACCGTTTTCAGCTCGTCCGTTTTTAATGAAACATTCATTTAAAGATAGGTTATGTCTAATACTGTTTTTCCAGGCTTTGTCTTGATTGTTGTAATAAGGAAATTTTGTCATGATGTAGCTGTAAATATCTCCCAACAATACCTTCTTCTCCGTAGATTCCAAAATGGCCATAGATATCAAAGCAATGTATGAATGGCCTGGCTTGTCTTTTGAGGCCGCTCCACTTGATGTTGCTGTTGCTGTAGGCGAAAGCGATGGTGCTCCGTTGACGTTGAAATTATCAGGATCGCTGTGCGTAACTGGAGAAGAACCTGGACTCCCTTCTTCACTACTTTGTTCGTCCTTTCTGGTCAAATAGTCAATGCTGAAGTTAATCATTTTGAAAATTAGTTAGAATTTTTTACTTTCTCTTTAAAAACCGAATTGTTATTGCAATCGAAGATCTAAACAAATGTGATAAAATTAAAAAAAATGCGAATGCTTATATCCATATCGTTGATTGGTTGATTCGTTTATCACAGCTTTAGCAGACTAGAAAACACTGGCCAATCAATTTGTCAATCATGTCTATGACCTC